AGCCTTCGCTCCATTCTCTGTAAGTCAGGTATAGAATTTCAGATGTGTATATGTAACAAGCAGTGATCACCATGACAAACTTGGCCTTCTGTGATTTGAAATCCACTTGGAGCACTTGCATTTCCCTTGCACTTCTTTCCTCCATGTGGCCAAGACAGCCTGTGGCATCTTCCAGCAACGAACTGGGCCATCTCACAGGAGTCTCCTAGTGACTCAGTGACAGGTACCCCTGAACTGAGAAGCTGTCTGGATGTGTTTTGTAGCCCTTGTACCATGGATGTGACTGAAAGCCCAGCTGAGGGAGAGCCTGGAGCCCACCAAGAACTCAGACACTGTTGTTTAGGTTGGACTCACTCTTGGCAGCCTGTGTCCTGATTCTTCTGGGTACGGTTTAGTTTATAAAGGTTGCAATTCAGTAACACTTTTTCTTGTGACTGATGAGTAGCCTCAGTTCCCCCTGTGCGTCCAATGCAAACACAGTCTTTGGGAATTTTTGTAGGAATGAAAGACAATGGTATAAGCAGCACACAGTGAGTGCTCAGTACTTGTTGGCAGCCAAGAATATTGCATTATGGCACAGCATCATTATTTGGTTTAATCATTTCATCAGATAGACCAGCAGCTGTTAAAGAAAAAGGAAGATCCAGCAGTGTGACTCTCTGGCATGAAACTATAAAGCTTATTCTCCTTAATAAAAGAACGCACCTCTCGATGAATCCTCGCAGGAAGAAAGCAAGCCTTCTGTGTGGTTGGCATTTTGTCTTTCCCCTTTGCCATAATCGTTCCAAGAGCAGAGACAGCGGTGGGTGAATACGTTTGGTGTTTGCCTACACATCATTCAGAACTTACTGTTGGTTTCCAGGGGAGTAGGAAAAATTTTGAAGTGAACAGCTCTTATTGTATTTGTTAACACAGTGGAAACATTTAGTTTCTGAGTTTTTCAATTACCTCCTTAAAGAGTCTCATTTTCATAACATTTATGGTCTAATTATTAATGTGATACATTGTGAGCAATTGAAAAGTCGGAAACACATAAGGAGGGAGGAAATCAAAGCCCTGTCTAATCCCAGTGGTGGGGCTGATAATATTTTGGCATAATTTCAATATATTATGTGTATTTAACATTTGGTTGGGGATATGTGTCTTTTTTGTAACCTGTCGTTTTGCATTTACTTTTACCCTATCATTAATTGTACTTTTACATTATGTTTTTTTTTTTTAATATTTATTTTTTACTTGAAAGGCAGTGTTAGAAATGAGAGGAGAGACACAGAGACAGGTCCTCCATCTGCTGCTTCCCTCTCTAAATGTCCCAGTGGCCGGAGCTGAGCTGATCCAAAGCCAGGAGCCAGAAGCTTCCTCCAGGTCTCCCATGTGGGTGCAGGGGACCAAGCACTTGAGCCCTTCTCTGCTGCTTTCTCAGGCCATAAGCAGGGTGCTGAATAGGAAATGGAACAGCCTGGATGCGAACTGGCACTCATATGGATGCTAGTGCCTGTGGGCAGAGGTTGAGCCTACTAAGCTTCAACGGCAGCCCTACAGTATGATTTTTAAAATGACTGTGTGGTGTTGTGCTCTGTGGGCATTTTATAACTGATTTAAATTCATTATGTGTTACAGAACATCCAGTTACTTCCAACGTTTAACTGTGATGAATATCCATGAGACCGCTGGTGATGTGGAATATGTGGCTCTGTCAGCAGCGCCTATGACATTTGGTGTCATTTTGGTGATTTTCCAGTGCCTTGTTTAATATTGCATTTCTTTACTCACTCTTAAGGGTGAGCCTGTGTATCCCTCTTCATGTGTTTAGCAGCTGCATGGATGGTGTCCCTTTAGGAACTGGCAGCTTTGGATCATCGGGCGCTTTAGTTAGGGTGCTGGTTTTTTCTGCAAAGCAGAAGGCATTTGTAGAGGAGGGGTATCGAACCCTTACTTGTCCCGCGGTGGCTGCCTTGTTCTAGTTGTCTGATAACAGCCAGCTTCAAAAGTATTGATTGACAAAAACTGGCTGATGGTATTTGAGAGAGAAAGATAGATATCTTTTATTCTGTAGTAAATCAATTCTTCATTTTTTTTTCATGTTTTCCTCAGTCATCCCTGTATCAACATGAGTCATACAATTTAGAGATCATGGATGAAAAGTGTAGGCTGAGTTTTCTATTCCGAGTTGTTTAGGAGTCATGCGCTTCACTCCGATAGAGCCATGACTAAGAAATGCAGTGCAGGTCAAAACCCTCCATTCCTAATCAGCTTTTCTGTGTTTAAAATAACCACCACTTCCACCTGCTTCATTTTCTCCTCTCAGCCCCTTTCAAGATGGAATATCTTAGTATTAAGAATTATCTCTCCCATAATTGTGTTGGCATTCGGGACCTCCAGTAGATTTTATGACCCCTTAGGTCCATGGTACATGTGAGCATCTGAATCGTCCCCTTTGCCTTTCCTGCTGCTGCCATGGGAGGAGAAAATTCTAAGGGACCACTCTTTGGACCCCCATATTTCTCATCTCCTCTAAAACTGCTTTTAAAAGCAATAGATGTATGTATGTATTTGAAAGGTGGAGTTACTGAGTGATACAGAGAAGGGAGAAGGATCTCCCTGGTTCATTCCACCACTTCCTGGTTCATTCCCTAAATGGCTGAAGTGGCCAGGCTGGGATAGGCTGAAGCCGGGAGCTGCTATTCCGTCCAGGTCTCCTATATGGGTTGCAGGGCCCAAGGAATTTGAACCATCAACCACTGATTTCCCAGGCCACTTTGCAGGGAGCTAGATTAAAAGTGGAGCAGCACGTATTTGAGTTAGCACTCATAGGGGACACTGGCATAGCAAGTAGTGTCTTTTTTTTTTTTTTTTAAGATGATGTTTACATAGTCGATCAGGGTGAGAAGGATCACGGGTTAAGGAAAAGTGGGTGGAGTGATAATTCTAAGTTTTCTGTTTTTCTTCCTGTTTCTGGAGGGAGGGGCAGAGATAAAGGGAAAGGCCTTACCCAGCCTCCCTAGTATCCCAGTACACCCAGTATCAACCCAGGGTCACAACGGCACATGTTCTGAAAGTTCTGCCCAGCAGGATGCATGCCCAGCAGGAACTACCATGTCCTCCATGTGCACTATGGTCTGCCATCCAGCATGCCATCCTCTACACTGGGGAGGACCAGTTCTCTTAGGTGGTCTCATGGACCTGAGCCAGGTGACCTGGGCCATGCCAGACCCCTCACCCCTGGGGCTCACAGATCCAATGACCACCTTGTAAGCAGGTCCAAGGTCCAGGGACATGCCACCTGGAACCCACTGGACCCCTGGCCACACAGGTGGGCTCGGTGACCTGGACCAGGAAATCTAGGCCCTTCTGGCCCCCTCGACCCCAGGGTTCACTGATCCAGTACACAGACGGGCCCAAGGACCTGGGCCAAGAGACCCTGGCCCCACTGGACGCTCCACTCCTGGGGCTCATGGACCTGACACCCACTACATAGGTGGGCCCAAGGACCTGGGCCCAGAGACCCAGGGTCAAGCCAGACCCACCACCCTTGAGGCTCACGGGCCCAGTATCTACAGTGCAGGTGGGTCCAAGGACCCAGGCTGTGTGACCCGGGACCTGCTGGAGCCCCACCCTTGGGGCTCATGGACCTGGCCCCAGCCATGCAGGCAGGCTCATTGACCAGGACCAGGAGACCCAAGTCTCTATGGGCATCCCACTGCTGGGTCTCTCAGATTCAACACCCACTGCATTGGTGGGCACAAAGAACTGGGCCAGGAGACCCTGGTCCCACTGGACCCTCCACCCTCTGGGCTCATGGACCTGAAACTCACTATGTAGGTAGGCCCTTAGGACCTGGACCAGGACACAAAGGGCCAAGCCAGATCCTTCACCCTTGAGACTCACAGGTTCAGCATCCATCATCCAGGATGGCCCAAGGCCCTGCGCTGTGTGACACCCCCCCCCCACGCCCCTGGGGCTCAGGGACCTGGCTCCCCACCATGCACGCAGGCTTGGTGACCTGGAGCAGGAGACCCAACCCCTCCAGGCCCCTTTCCCCTGTGGCTCACAGATTCAGCACCCATCGCATAGGCGGGCCCAGGGACCTGGGCCAGGAGACACAGGGTATGCTGGACCCCTCACCCCTAGGGCTCCTGGACCTGATACCCACCACTTCCAGACTGACATGGCTCATCTTTCTCGGCATCCACAAGTTGGTACTTCAGCCTAGTTCGATCCAGTCAGCCCCCAGTTCCAGCTTGTGCTGGTTGGTGATGCAGCCTAGCATTTCCCAAGCAGTCTCCAGTCCTGACTTGAGTGTGAACTGGCTGGTGATGTAGCCTGACTCATCCCCTCCTGCACCCTGTCCTAGTTCTCGGATCTGCCAGTGGATGTTATGAACTGGCCCCTCCTGGTCTACCCCTGATGTGACTCACACGTATGCTGGCAGTGTCTTAACCTACTGCACCACAATACTGGTTCCTTCCACTTTTTTATTTTTAAAGATGTATTTATTTATTTTTTTTTTTTAAAGATTTATTTTTATTTTTTTTTATTATTTTTTCATTGGAAAGGCGGATATACAGAGAGGAGAGACAGAGAGGAAGATCTTCCATCCGATGATTCACTCCCCAAGTGAGCGCAACGAGCCGATACTATGCCGATCCGAAGCCAGGAGCCTCTTCCGGGTCTCCCACGCGGGTGCAGGGTCCCAAAGCTTTGGGCGGTCCTCGACTGCTTTCCCAGGCCACAGGCAGGGAGCTGGAAGGGAAGCGGGGCTGCCGGGATTAGAACCGGCGCCCATATGGGATCCCAGGGCGTGCAAGGCGAGGACCTTTAACCACTTGCGCCACCGCGCCGGGCCCAAGATGTATTTATTTTTAAGGAAGGGAGAGAGAGTGAGAGAGAGAGAATGAATATGAATCTTCTTTCTGCTGGTTTGCTTTCCAAATGCCTTTTAGAGTGCAGACTGGGCCAGGCTGAAGTCAGGAGCCAAGAACTCCACTGCGGTCTCGGACATGGCTGTCCGAGCCAAGTACTTGTGCCGCCACCTGCTGCCTCTCAGGTGCATCAGCAGGAAGCCAAGCCTGCACTGCTGCTGCAGTGTAGGCTGCAGGTGTCCGAAGTGGCTGCCTCGCCTGTGCCACGGCCCCCACCCCAGGCAGCTGCTTCTTGAGGCTCTCCAGGGTGCTCTGAGGCTGAACACCACACCCCCCCTGACCTGTTCATGTTCAGGGTGCTAGGCACCCCTTTCTAACCATCCACGTCAAACTAGGGTAAACCAGTAGCGTGAGTTTGGCATTCAAATCGTTACATAACAGGTATGTAAGTATCCCAAATGTGCTAGGCCATACCGAAATGAAGAAAATAGGGCTGTTATCTACAAGAGGCAAGTCCCCTGGAGAGATGCAGTCCCAGGGACACTGCTCCAAGGCTCATTTTGCAATGGCTTAAGCAGGGAGGTGAGAGAGTGGGGCCCGCAGCAGTCCCCGTCTGAGCGTCTGGAAGGAGCAGCACCCGAGTGTGGCTTGTCCCACCAGGTGATATAGCACAAGATGAAGAGCGGAAGCTTGGGGTTGGTCAGATTTGGGATCAGAACTGGGAAATGCCATCAGCAGATGCTCAAGCAACTGTTTCCTTACAGGCTGTGGGGGTTGGTAAATGTGAGCGTAAGAATAGTGCCAGCTACAGGACTTGCACTCACTTCTTGCCAAGTTGAGGTTGGCTTGTGCATGGAAGCGGTTCCCAGCATATTATTAGCACTGGGTTAAGTGTTAATTATTCTAGCTACTTCTGAGGTCAGAAAATGATCTTTCCAGATACCTATCTAATTCCCTGGTGGTGAGAAGCGTTGTAGGGGTGTGCATTTCAGAAGGAGACACCAAGATCAGCAGACTCCATCTCCAGGTTCACGGCCATACAGATGTGAATTGGAAGAGGCCCTGCATAGGCCTTGAGCCAGGTTAGCAGCCAGTTTGTTCCCCATCTCCTTACTGGGTGGGGTCGGCAGCTTATGCTGAGCTGCTAAAAGAATTTGGTGACCAGGTTCTCTTGGGCTGCTGGAAAGCTGTGCCGTCAGCTGGCCATCAGAGATGTCTGCAGTGGAGGGGGCACCAAAGCTAGAGCTGAGAGCTCCTTCCAGGTACAATCACTTCGGCGCAAAACACTGCTTCCCAGAGAGCACTGAGCTGGAGTCAGGAGCGGGGTGGGAGTTGAACCCAAGTACTCGCATGTGGGACGTGCGAATCTCGACTGCCATGGTGAACATCTGCCCCACAGTCACCTTTACTGTGCAAGCCAGTGACCCCTGGCCTTGGGAGCATGCCACCAGCACTAAAGCTCCCTGTCCCTCGGCTGTCTCTTCGGCTTTGAGGAGACCTGTTGCTAAACCCACGAAACCCGTGTCGTCCTGTGTTTAAAACTTCCCAAGGATCCCGAGAAACTTTTATGGATGTGAGTCAGTTTATAACTAGCAATGCGGTTCAAGTTAGAAATCAAAATACTAAAATATATAATTATTGACTTATTACAAATATTAGTAATAGACCTACTGTGTTCTATTTTTATGAAAACCGTGTCTCCACAAAAGTTTAGTGAAGAAGAATGGCATATTTTTGCAAATCCTCTTAAAGTCTCAATATAACAACTTTGTTTCTTACGTCTGCTGCTGCATTTAGCATGTATTGCTGTTGCAAAAGTATGTTGTATAGCTTTTGCAACACATCCACTTTTTTTTTTAAGATTTATTTTTATTATTTTTTGATTGGAAAGGCGGATATACAGAGAGGAGAGACAGAGAGGAAGATCTTCCGTCCGATGATTCACTCCCCAAGTGAGTGCAATGGGCCGATACTATGCCGATCCGAAGCCAGGAGCCTCTTCCGGGTCTCCCACGCGGGTGCAGGGTCCCAAAGCTTTGGGCTGTCCTCGACTGCTTTCCTGGGCCACAGGCAGGGAGAAGGGAAGCGGGGCTGCCGGGTATTAGAACCGGCGCCCATATGGGATCCCGGACGTGCAAGGCGAGGACCTTTAACCACTTGCGCCACCGCGCCGGGCCCAACACATCCACTTTTTAAAAAAAACATTTATTTTGATTGGAAAGTCATATATACAGAGAGGAAGGGAGACAGAGGAAAATCTTCCCTCCGGTGATTCACTCCCCAAATGGCCGCAATGACCGGAGCCGCACTGATCTGAAGCCAGCAGTCAGGAGCCTCTTCCCACGAGGTCTCCCACGTGGGTACAGGGTCCCAAGGCTTTGGTCTTCCTCGACTACTTTCCCAGGCCACAAGCAGGGAGCTGGAAGGAAAGTGGAGCTGCCGGGATTAGAACTGGCACCCATGTAGGATTTTGGTGCATGCAAGGCAAGGACGTTAGCTGCTAGGCTACTGCGCCAGGCCCCAGGACTTCTTGATATACTTGTGCAAGGAGAAGTAGGGACAAAGGTTCATCACATTTTAGTGTTTCTTTTCTGTTGCTGCTGTAGCAAATTACTCAACTTCAGTGGCTTAAGACAGTACAGATTAATTTTGCTATGGCTGTGGAGTTCAACACTCGATGGCAAGTTTCCTGGGGGGTAGCCTTGAGGTGTTGGTGGGGCTGCTCCTGGAGGCTCCGGGGACAGTATGTGTTTCTTTGGCTTGTTCATCTTTGCCTGTACCTGAGCTTTTGGCGCTGTCCTCCATCGGCAGAGCACATCTTCCTAGTTGCTGCTGCATCCTCACCCTCTCTCCGACTGTAGCGGTGTCTCTTTCTGCTACGGACTCCTGTGATGGTATCAGAATCTCCCTCCTCCAAATCTTTTTTTTTTTTTTTTAAGATTTATTTTTATTATTTTTTTATTGGAAAGGTGGATATACAGAGAGGAGAGACAGAGAGGAAGATCTTCCGTCCGATGATTCACTCCCCAAGTGAGCGCAACGGGCCGATGCTATGCCGATCCGAAGCCAGGAGCCTCTTCCGGGTCTCCCACGCGGGTGCAGGGTCCCAAGGCTTTGGGCCGTCCTCTGCTGCTTTCCCGGGCGACAGGCAGGGAGCTGGAAGGGAAGTGGGGCTGCCGGGATAGAACTGGCGCCCATATGGGATCCCGGGGCGTGCAAGGCGAGGACCTTAACCACTTGCGCCACCGCGCTGGGCCCCCTCCTCCAAATCTTTAACCACATTGCGGAATGCTCTGGTCCAAAAGGGCTTGTTTGGTGATTGTTGTTCAGCCTGCCAAAGCTGTGAAAATGTTGACCTAGTGAGCCCCCTGAAGTGGTCTGGAGGGCCCCCAGAGGTCCCCACATCATCCCTTGGGAAGCACTGTTGTAGCAGGAACAGAGGTTGGCATCTGTGATAGTCTCACAGCCCACGCGTGCGCTGAGAAGTGGTACTGAATGAAATGACCGAAACATTGCTTGCACCTCCTACCTGCTGTCAGGTTGATGTCTACACTCCAGGTGAACTTGAGTTGATTGTAATCGGGTTGCGTCTAAAGTTTCTGTCATTTTGCCTTGTCTTAGGGCAGATAAGAACTGGGTCAGAGCCGGGGTGGAGTTCTTTGTTCACGGCGACACATTGACCTCCTTACAGAGGCAGTGTGGTCTTGCACTCTGCGTGCTCAGATCTCAGCTCCTGCACCGTGGGATTTCCGTTCAGACCTGCGTGTGTTGCCTTCCGTGGACTTGGTGACGCTCTTTCCCCTCACCCACCACCTGTGCTTGCCTGAATGCCACTGCTGGCAAGCGGGACTCGGGCATGGGATTAATGAGCAAGGAATCTGGTGGATGCAGAGGAAAGCAGGACGAAATAGGGAAGGCTCGAAGCAGGGCTGGCATCTACACTCAGATTCTGCCTGATCCCACAGGGGACGCTGGGGCTGGAACTCTACCACAGAGCTGGTCCTCTTGGAGGTGGAGCTAGCATTTTGATGCTTATCTTGTCATTCATGGGTTCAGGCCTCTGGGCGATCCCCCAGGGAGTGGGCCATGTTAATGTGCTCGGTGAGGTGGTTTAAAAAACAAGAATTTATTTTTCACTATCCTGGAAGCTGAGAATTTCAAGATCAAGATGCCAAATCATTTGATTTCCCTGTGAGGGCTCTCTTCCTGGTTTGCAAATGGCTTTCTCATTGTTGGCATGGGAAAGGAAGAGAACAAGAGAGAGAGGGAAGGAGAGAGAGAGAAAGTTTTCTAATGTCTCTTTTTGTAAGAGCTACCCGTCCTATCACGAGAGCCTCACTTGTATTAGTCAGCTTTTGGTTACTTTAATTAAAATATCTGAGAGGAGAAACTTTGGAGGAAACAGGCCTGTTCCGGCCACAACTCATTGGTTGAGGCGTCTGGTGATGGCAGCAGAGAACCACAAGGTGACGTGTAGGAAGCAGAGAAACACAGAGCTCATGGCTCATGCTTGGCTGATACCAACCCTCTTCAAAAACTTCATTCCAAAGGCTCTCTCCGAATGACCTGAAGACCTATCACCTGGCCCACCTGTGGAACACCAAGTTATCAAGTCTTTACCTTTAATTGTTATCTCAGCTCTTTGGGGTTGAAGTACCCATGTGAGTTTAGGGTGCCAAATCTTGCTCAAAACATAACACCATACTCCTACCCCCCATCCAGTGACATCACCCCCAAAAGGCCCTGTTGTAATTGGGAGATCGAGCTTCAGTATTTGAGTTTTTTGGGGGAAATCCTCCAGTCCATAGAATGTCTGTCCTGGCTGGGGTGTCGGGGTATTCCAATAGCATCTGCTACACTTGAAGTCATGGGTACCACCACCACCTTACTGATCACCTGTTGCCTAGCTCACAGCATCTTATGTGTTCGTCTCTTCAGCTAGAGGGGATAACAGGCCATGATAGAAGCTGGACACAGAGAATGGTGAGGATGGGGATAGTAACAGAGCTGACTTCACCTCCATCTTATTTGTGTACTTATTTATATAGTAATTTGTTTTGTTTGCACAATTGAAATACTACATAAGAACAGGCTTTTGGTCTAACAGTTAACACTCTGGTTGGATGCCTCTATCCCATATCTAAGTCCTGAGATGAAGTGCTGGCTTTCTTTTCAGATTCCAGCTCCTTGTTCATGTAAACCTTGGGAAGCAGTGGTGGTGGCTCACCCACATGGCAGTGTCTGAGTTTCCATCTTCCAGCCTTAGCCTGGCCCAACCCCAGCCATTGCAGACATTTGGGGAGCTCTGTCTGCTTCTCCCCATCTCTCTCCCTCTAAGATAAATAATGGAAATTCAGAATTAAGTGTTAAAGAAGAGTCATAAGCCTTTTGCTTCTTCCTGTGTGTCTTATATACCTCACAGTGGCATCTGGGCTTCTCTTGGCATATTGTGGTGCTTTTTGCCTCTTCCTTCTTTCAAGCTGGCTTCAGCACCAACCTCACTGCCCCTGGATCCTGGCAGCAGGTGCCCCTGGCTTGTCATGTTAAGAGGCTCTCCCTCGGTCATCCTGGACTGAACCCTTCCTCACCGTGCCAAGGACTTGCATACTCAGAGTCGTCCTTAATTCCCAAATGGGTCCACATTTGAACAGTGGTACCCAGGGGTAAGATGCCTGCAGACTTCTGGCAGGCCTCACACAGGCCTGTTATCCACAGCCATTGTACTGAGGACTGGTCCCGAAGGTGGTAGGATCATGTGTTCTGAAAGGCACGTCCAGTGATAAACTGTGCAGCCACGTGGCAACAGCTTGTGGAATGGTTCATTCCACATCTGGATGCTGCAAAGGCTTGGTGGAAACCCTGTCTTCACCATCCTTTGGACCAGTCTTTTTTTTTTTCTTTTTTTTTTTTTTTTAAATAATACTTTATCCAGTGGCCTAAAACAAAATTAAGATTTGTGGAGATCAGTGGGAGGTGGGGTCAAGGTGTTAAGAACAGTTATCCTTGGAAGGTGGTAGCAAGAATCTGAGAGTGCAGAAGGATAGATGATGGTCTGTAGACCTTGGTCTCCTCGGGGCCAGGAGGGACCAAGCCACCGACCAGGCAAGTGAGCCGTTCCCTTCCAAAAGCCTGTGTGTGATGGCTATGGCCAGAACCGGGGTCGTGGCTCAAGTATCTTCTTATAGAATGATTGCTTTAAACACCACCGGTTTATTCTTTTTCACAGGGTTGCTCCGAGGGAGGTGGCTGTGCTACTGTGCAACAAATCGAATGCATTTTACAACCTTGGGAAATGGAATGAAGCCTACCTCACTGCCAAGGAGTCTCTGCAGTGGGATCCAAACTACGTGAGGGTATGGCACCGTGGCAGCGTGGGGTGCTGGCTGCCGCCTCCTTTTTTAGCCTGCCTGGGAGTCTCCTTTCTTATGAAAACTGACATGCAAGGAGGACTTGTCCTTCAACTCTCTTTGCACTTTAGATGGCTACCCATAGAGCCCGTGAGCATTATCTGGGGGGGAAAGTAACAGGGCCAGGCATTGAGGTGCCCTTGTCCCTGAGAACAGGGGTGTCCCGGTGGTGGGAGGAGGGCGGTGGAGAGTCTGAGGAACTCATTTGGTTCTGACATAGTTACGTAAAAGCCGGCTTCTGCTCGTGGCCTTTGTAAGGCTCGCCATAGCAGAGCTTTATTTCAAATCTAACTGAATGGACAATGGGATGGTGAGTCTTCAGAAAGTATTTTTAAAAAATATTTATTTATTCTTATTGGAAAGTCAGATTTACAGAGAGGAGGAGAGACAGAGAGGAAGATCTTCTGTCTGCTGATTCATTCCCCAAGTGGCCGCAAAGGCCGGAGATGAGCCAATCCGAAGCCAAGCTCCAGGAGCTTTTTCCTGGTCTCTCGTGCAGGAAAAGGGTCCCAAGGCTTTGGGCTATCCTAGACTCTTTTCCCAGGCCACAAGCAGGGAGCTGGATGGGATGTGGAGCTGCCGGGACATGAATCAGCACCCGTATGGGATCCCTGTATGTGCAAAGAGAGGACTTCAGCCACTAGGCTACCGCACCAGGCCTAGAAAGTGTCTTTTATAGTAAACATCAGCACCTTTGGAGACATCATGAATAACTCCACTGGGTTACTCTTCTGCATCTAAGACTGAGTTTCCTCAGTTGTGAAATGACGTAATGCCTTGGAATTAGACTGTTACGGACTGGGGAGTCAGGAAGTGAGGTTGTTGGCACCCAGTAAATGGGAGCCTTTGTTCTATCTCAGTGGTCTGCACAGTGGGGAAGGTCGGAGGGCTGACCTGCAGATTGTTCCAATCCGAGAAGGATTTGGATATTCTGCATTATAAAGTAGGCATTAGCTTTTTCCTTTTTTAAAAGATCTATTTATTTTTATTCAAAAATCAGAGTTACAGAGAGGGAAGAAAAGCAGGTGGTGGGGAGGTGGCGGGAGGGAGGGAGGAAGAGGAGGAGGAGGAGGAGAGAGAGAGAGAGAGAGAGAGAGAGAGAGAGAGAGAGAGAGAGAGAGATCTGCAGGAACCAGAGATTAGCTGGTCTGAAGCCAGGAGCCAGGAGCTCCTCCTGTGTTTCTCACATGGGCACAGGGGCCCAAGACCCTGAGCCAGCCTCTGCTGGCTTCTCAGATCATACGCAAAGAGCTGGATCAGAATGAAAGCAGCCAGGACACAAACTGCTGCCCAAATGGGGATGTCAGTTCTGCCGGTAGAGGGTGAGCTCACTATGCCACCACACCAGCCCCTCAAACTGGCTCTTCTACTTCCCCTTTTGGAGTGTGGGTAGTTCAGAAGTTACTGACTGCCTTCAAAAATGGGAGTGATTTCCAGGACTTCTTCCCAAAGGACGAAAAGTAGCAATAGCCTTGGGTGGAGGCTGTGGTTGTAGCCCAAGAGGTTCAGGGCGTCCTGAAGTCACCAAAGCTGTGGTAGCTTCTGATGGCCCAGCGATCACGGCCACTTCCGCATTCCTTTTTTTTTGTGTGTGTTTATTTTATTAGTTAATTTCTACAGAGAGAGAAGGGGGAGACAGGGATCTTCCATCTGCTGATTCACTCCCAAATGGCTGCAGTTGCTGGGGCTAGGCCAGGATGCAGCCTGGGGCTTGGGACTCAGGCTGGGTCTCCCACGTGGGTAGCAGGGCCCTGAGTGCTTGGGCCATCCTCCATTGCTTTCCCAGGCACGGAGCTGGATCAGAAGTGGAGCAGCTGGTGCTCAGAGGGGATGTAGCAGGCGGTGGCTTAATCAGCTATGTCCGACCACTTCCACCTTCACTTCCCCATTCTTTTTAGAGATAAATGTAAGATTTATTAATGTTTATTGGGAAGGCGGATTTACAGAGAGGAGAGGGAGGGCTTCCATCTGCTGCTTCACTGCCCCAGTGGCTGCATTGGCCGGAGCTGAGCTGATCTGAAGCCAGGAGCTTCTTCTGGGTCTCCCATGCGGCTATGGGCCATCTGCCACTACTTTCTTCCCATGTCACAAACAGGGAGCTGGATGGGAAGGGGAGCAGCCTAGACACGCTGGCAGGTGAGTGGAGAGAAGCTCCACAGTTCCCCATGCGAAGCTCCTGGATTTTTTTTTTTTCCTTTTTCTGCTTTACTCCTTCCGTTATCCTCTGTAAAGTAGAAAAAAAAAATTTCTGTCTACCTGTTTTTGTGGTTTGAGCGAGTGACATCCTGTGTATCCAACTGATGAGCGAGAGGAGAAAAGCATTCTGATATTATTTGATGTTAGTACTTACGTGGCAAGGGAACTTCCTGGAAAAGAAGTAATATCCCAAAGAAGTGGAGAGGCTGAGGGCTCACATACACTTCTGAACGAAAACCAACACATTGTGGAGACGTAAGAAGACAGAGTGAAAACCCGGAGATTTATACAGGGATAAGTACGCGAGATTTGCGCAGGTCCGTGTCCCTGTTGGATGGCCTCAGGTTCATGGCCACAGAACGTCCCCAGCGGAGGGCTGTGCAGGTAGACCCTGCCTCTCAGGAGTCTTCGCTTTTAGCTTGGGATATTTGGGCAAGACTGCTTATTGAGTTTGTTTAATCTCAGGTCATTTCAGTACAAAATACTCACACCCAAATCGCATCTTTGGGGGTGGCATATTCTGATTTCCTTCACCTCCCTCGGGAATAAAAAAAAGTTAAAAACAAATCTATGGAAAGTAAAGAAATGAAAGATTTTGTGCTAGTTTGCCTGGTTGAAAAAAAAAAAAACCTTTTTATTTTTAAAGATTATTTTTATTTGAAAGGCAGTGTTTCAGAGAGACTCTTCCATTTGCTAGTTTGTGACCCCAAATGGCTGTGATAGCCAGAACTGGACTGGTCCCAGGCCAGGAGTTTTGGCTGGGTCTCCCACATGGGTACAGGGTAAGCGTGTGGGCTGACCTCTGCTGCTTTCCCAGGCACCTGAGTAGGGAGTCGGGGCAAATGCATTCCTTCTCCCTCTTTTTTTTTTTTTTTTTTTGATTGATACTTGAAGTCTTCAGACTTCCAAGTTTAAAACAAATCAACCCTCAGATACCAAAAAATCTAGAAGAAAGAATGATTACATTATTATTACACATTTGAGAACACAGATATGTTTAATGTTCCTGGACATCATACATTGTATCAAAGTATCACATCCAGGGCCCAGCCCTGTAGCCTAGTGGCCAAAGTACTTGCCTTGCATGCACTGGGATCCCATATGGGGGCTGGTTCTAATCCCAGTGGCCCACTTCCATCCAGCTCCCTGCTCAGGGCCTGGGAAAGCGTGTGGTCTGGGAAAGAAAGCCCCAAAGCCTTGGGATTCTGCCACCCGCATGGGATACTGGAGGAGGCTCCTGGCTCTTGGCTTCCAATTGGCTCAGTTCCGGCCATTGTGGCCACTTGGGGAGCCAATCAGTGGAGTGAATCTGTCTCTCTTCCTCTCTGTAGATCTTATTTTCAATAAAAATAAATACACTTAAAAAAATCACACCCATAACTCTGTATACTTTTGTGTCAGTTAAAAATCAAAAACATTTTAAAAATCACATGAGCAATAAAAAAAAAAAAGTCAGAGATTTGGTGTTTAGGCAAAGTTAGAAGTGCTTGCTGTTTTAGGAAACCTGTTTGGGTAAAATGGCTGATGGTGATTCTGATGAACAGATGAACGTGGGATCATGTCATTCCTGGTTCGGTGTGCCATGGCCTGTATGGAGGAAGCGCTGCACCATTTTTTCTATTACTCATGGTCATTGTATTTTCTTTATACAAAGCAACTTACTTTATTTTTTTTCATGGAAAAATAAAAGTGATATTTTTATTTTGCTACAAAATATCTTTTTTAAAAGTTTTATTAATTGTACTGCATTATGTGACACAGTATTATGGGTACTGGGATCCCCCCCACCCCTCCCCGAACCATCACCCCATGGTGGATTTCTCCACCTTGTTGCATTACCACAGTTCAAATTCAGTTGTGAAAGCAACTTACTTTTAACCTCTGGTATATTTTGCTTAGAATGTGGAACTCAGTAAATCTTTGTTCTTATCATTACATTTTCCCCCCTTACACACCTGGTGGAAATTGTGTTTACTCTGAAAGCACAGCGGACAACTTGTGCGTTTATGTGACAGTCTTAATTCTTTTCTTGAAAACTATTCATTTTTTTTCATCTGTCTGCCCCAGGCTGTATTTGAGCTATGAGTAAGTAAACCACATGTACTGTTGGAACCGAATCAGCTTCCTTCTCCCTGTGTTATATGTTAGATGCGGTGTAAGTTATGGCAGGAAAAACGTGGTACAGAATCTGACATGGAAACTGCTCGCTGGAACTCCGGGTTTCCATCACAAGAAAGACTAGATTCTGGAGTTCAAATGTTCCATGTTGCTAGATTTGTAGTTTGGACGAAATGGGGGTGCATTCCATTTCCTTTTTTTTTTTTTTAGATTTATTTATTTTTTTTATTGGAAAGTCAGATATACAGAGAGGAGGAGAAACAGAGAGGAAGATCTTCCATCTGCTGGTTTACTCTCCAAGCGGCCACAGTGGCCGGAGCTGAAATGACCCAAAGCCCGAAGCCAGGAGCTTCTTCTGGGTCTCCTTGACTGCTTTCCCAGGCCACAGGCAGGGAGCCAGATGGGAAGCAGGGCTCTGGGATGCGAATCGGTGCCCCAATGGGATCCCAGGCGCATGCAAGGCAAGGACGGTGGCCACTAGGCTACTGTGCTGGGCCCCTCCATTCTGTTTTGTGTCCTATTTCAGGGATACTACCAAGCGGGCTATTCCTTGCTACGGTTGCTCCAGCCTTACGAAGCTGCTCGCATGTTTTTTGAGGGGCTGCGACTTCTCCAGAACAGCCAAGAGCAAGGACAGATTCCCGATTTCCTTATTGGGATCTTCACCACTATGAGCAGTAAGTAAGGGGGAAAATTTTGTTTAAATTCCTTGTTATTTTATTTGAGTGACACCTGGGGGGAAAATTCCAGGGTGTTTCTTGTTGGCTATCTGTGAATAAAAGTGGTTTACACATTGGAAAGCATTTTAGAAACTCATGCCTTCGTAAAACACACACCCCCCCAATTCTATTGTGCAAAATGAGTTAAAGCTTTTGGAGTTTTGTGTCAGACCCATTCAGTTTTCTGTGTTACTATTCTTAGAATGTCCCTGTTTATACTTCTTGTCTTACGTGATGCTTGCTCTTCCGCGTCATTTTGACGTGACTTTGTCCAGTCTGCTGGGAACACATCCTGCTTGTGAAGGAATTCAGCTATATTGACTATCTCACACTGAAATTACTTGAGGAACTCTTAACTTCAGAAAGAGCTGTCTGGGGTGTCTGTCTTGCAGGTGCTGAGCCGTAGAGATTCCTTTGGGAGGTCTGTCCTTCACATACCAGAGCCAGAAGGGGACTGGGAGTGGAAGCCGCGGCAAATCTGAAGTCTTTGAAGTAACCCTTATCTTCCACTAGCTTCTGCATGCCCACACCATCTAGCTCAGTAGCAACCTTGGAATTCGCTACCCTCGGCCAGAGGATCCGTTGTTCTTTCACAATTTTCCTGTTCTTTGTCTAGATGCAGTGAAAATCCTTGTGCTGTGGGCATTCGTGCAGGCTCCACTCTGTTGTGAAGACCCTACATACATATGCGTTCATACAACTTTTTTCCCCCTCTTTTGTTTTTCTTTCGTTCTTTAGTTTCTTACTAACGTTGTTTACATATTTGTGAGGGATGCGTGCCCATGTGGACCTCTGATCAGGGTGGGGAGGATCAGATACGGAGGAAGTTGGGCAGGACAAATGTAGTTGTTTCTTTCCTTTTGTGTCCACAGGGCAAGAAGAGGATGCTGTGTGAGTCCAGTTGCCATTCCTCTCCATGTCACCAATTTCAAAACTTATAAACTCTGAAACTTTATTTCAGGTGACTCCATTGTTTTGCAAAGTTTCTTGCCCTGCTTCGATCATCTTTTCACTGCTGGATTTTCAACACAAGTGTGGCAGTGTGTAATAGAAAGGTTGGCGAAGAAAGGATTGTGGCATGTAAGTAAAAGAAGAGATGGCTTTTTAAAGAGAAGAGTATACTGTGATGCCATGATTTACTTTTTTCAAATTGTATTTTTGATGATATTTACATAGTTGTTAGGGGTGAGAAGGGTTAGGGGAAAGTGGGTGAGACCATTGTTTTCATCTTTTCTTTTTGCTTCTTCCTACATTGTGGGAAAAGGGGGGGAGGGTAGATAAGGGGAGAAGCCACACCCAGAGCCTCTCTACCAACTCAGTGTCCAGGGATGGGGAACGGCCGCCTGTTGTCATCCTAGGGTCCCCAGGGTGGAGTATGCGCTGAGGATTCTGCTTAGGTTCTGATAGCTCTGAAAGGCTGCCAATCTCACCAATCCAAGGATAAGGAAGTGCTTCCAAGGTCAATTGGCCGACATAGCCTACCTTAGAGTATCCATTTGCCCAGATATTTGCTATCAATACTTTGCTGGGGTAGTTGATCAATTTGTTCTTTTCTCCTTCTTGTAGTATGGTACCAGGTGTCCTCTGCAGGTTCCAATGTGCTGCCATATCCTCCATGTCCTCTGTTCCTTCTGAGCCTCTGAGGAGGTCCAGCTCTGACACATGCACTCCATGGTCAGACCATAGATGCTGCGATTCTCCCCATGGTTGAAATTCTGAGTCCAGTGATTCAGTTTGGGGGACCCTCAAACAAGCCTCGTCTGACGTGACCCCAGATCTGACTGTTGTGTGTGCTTGACAGTACAGAGTCCAGCTCTGTCTGTGACCCACATCAGCCTATGCACACACTGGTAGTTGCAGTTAAAATTTCTGGGTCAGTTCTGTCTCCAGCTCCACCCATCTCCTACACAAACTGATGGGTGCTCCAGCCCATCCAGATCCTGCCAGCCATACCCTTGGCTCTCATGTACACCAGCGGGAACTACAGCCTAGTCCAAGTGACCAACCATAACTGCCACTAGGCCTGCACCCAGCCATGGTTTCTGTGCTTACCAGTATATGCAGCAGACTAGTCTAGTATGTTCCACGTCCCACTCAGCTCTTATATACCTCAGTGGGCATTGAAGCCTACTTCAACCCAGCCAACCCCACTATCCAGCCCACATTCATGCTGGCAGGTGCTACCACCTGTCTACCCAGGCCTGCCCCCAGCCCTGGTTCTCATGCTCATCAGTGGGAGTTGCAACCAATCAGAGAGATGCCCACAGTCTCCCTATTGGGCCCACTCCCAGATCTTGCATTCTCCAGGTGGTTCAGCAATCTAGCTTGACAGGATTTTCCCCCAGTCCCAGGACTTGTCAACTGATGCTATGGCAAAGCCCAACCATGCTGCACCCACTCTGGCTTATGCATGTATCAGTGGGTACATTTGGTTAGCCTGGCCTGGCTCTTCCCCTAACTCAGTTCACATGCACACCAACAGGCATTGTATCCCTTCCCAGACTCATGTCACCAGTTCTAGCTCTCATGGTCATCAGCTAGTCCACATCAGGGCAGGATTGGGGACTGGCTGGGCTGGGCTAGGCTGCACCTGCCAAGCTCCTCTGTCAGGTCTCCTCCCTGTGGCAGATCTTGCACATACCAGTGGATTTTGACCCAGCCCATCTTAGTCTACCTTCTACCCTGGCAGGAACAGTGGCCTTGCCCATCCAGCCCATATCCATTCCGTTTCTTACTGTTGGCTGCTACATCCCAGCCACATCTGGTCCACGCTCAGACACAGCTCTTATGTGGTTCAGCAGGAGCAAAGACCTAGCTCAGCTTGTCCTGTACCCACCGTGGCTTTCATGAACACCAGTGGGTGCTGGAGTCTAGTCCAGTCTAGCATGCTTTCCCCTCCCCTCCTTTCCCTTACCCAGCCCAGCATCAAGCATGTGCGGAAATCTCCAGCTTGCTCTGCCTGCCTGGATGTGAGCCCCCTGGTCCCTGCAGGCTCCTGCTGGTGCTGCCTTCCTGGCCCTCTGCAAGCCTGCACCCCGAGTCCCCACAATCCGGCCATCCATTCTGCCATCGGCACGGCAATGATGGCAGCCAAATGATTTCTTTATATTGCCACTGAGGATTGTAATGTATTATTTGTTCATTTTGATGCCACAATAACATTTGAACCAGGACATCATTGAAGAAGGAAGGTTGTTGAGATTATTAACCAGCCAAATCCCTCTGATTTTAGTATAAGGAAAATGTGGCAGCCATACTTCTTGCTTTGTCTTTCTCTGATCGTAAGGATATATGAGGACAACCAACTATACGATGTTCCTGTCCACAATCCTTTTCACCCTGCACTAGCTAGTGAGGGTTCAGTGGTGCTTATGCTCCTTGGAGGGGTTACTGCCGTTTTAAGGGCCTGAGAGCCTTCAGTACTAGCTATGTGGGACTGTAGGATCCGATCCCAGGGCCACAAAAGCACCAGCTGGGCAGCCTGGGCTTTTGTGTCGCACAGATATTTCCTTGAATCCTAATCTTCCACTTAAACTTCCTTGCTGTGCCTTATTTCCTCATTCTTTTCAGGTGCAGCATAAACCCTGTCCTCTCAGGGTAGAGAATTAGAAATAGCGCCTCCGAGCACCTAGTAATACTGTCTTAACGTTTATGGAAGGCCTATGGTTTGTGCATGGAACTAATCTGAAAGCCACCCACATGGCAGGAAATAAGGGAAATGAATTGAACTCTTGGTGTACCAGGAGTCAGACATCTAGGGCCCTGTGAAGTCTTTTCCTTTTAAGTACGATGACTGTACTGAGTGATCTATAAGGGATCTTTCCAGATTTACTGTTTTTTAAAGTTGTAAAATTCTGATTCCACATGCCAACATGGATGTCTGAGTAGGGAGCTTTACATCTCATCAGTAGAAATGTAGTTGCATCTGCAGGACCCACAGAACAACCCTGTCCTGTCTTTCCAGTGTGGAGTGGAATGCACAGAGCTTCATGCCGTAGGTAGGGGGTGCTGAGGTAGAGGGAAGCTAGATGCTCCTAATTAGGTCTTCATTGCATCTCGGGGAAGGCCATGGAATCTAAGCCCAAGTGGCCAGTCCAACATTGTGCCTTCAGTAGAGTCCAGGCATTTTATAAGAGGCCATCAGTCAGGATTTCACTCTTGATGGAGCATCTGGTGTGGATGTGCGGCAGTGGGGCCTGCATAGCATGAGCAGGGAACAGTGAGCACCGAACTGAAGGAAATTAGAAACAAGACATGGCCATGGCCTTGGTTCCGGTGGGCCTAAGTCTGCAGACAGGAGAGGGCATGGTGGAAGCTGAGGCTGAGACCAGGCCTGCTGTCATGACCAGGGCCTGGAGTTCCTGGACCTGTTGGCATAGCTGGGTGATCTCAGTAGAGGTCTCTTGGGATGTTCTGTGTGACACAGGAATGCTTGCTTAATCTCTCTGCACGTCAGCATCTTTAGTGTTTATTATGGCTTCCACTAACACATTCAGCAGGTAGCTTTAACAATAATAGACAAGACTAGAGGATGTTTCATTTTATCTTTGTTTTTAAAGCTTGAAAATAGCCTGTGTTCTCTGATAATTGTTATTATTCCACCCTTTTGTTTTTCTCCACTCTCATCAGTCATTTCTACTTCTGTCGGCAAAAAAAGACCGACTACCAAGAGAGATCCATGTCCCAGAGCTGTCAATGAAAAGCCTCTTTGAGGTAAGGTGACTTTTAAAAAAAGATTTATTTATCAGTATTCGAAAGGCAGAGTTACAGAAAACAGGAGAATGAGAAAGAAAGAAAGAAAGATCTTGCATCCTCTAGTTTCCTCCCCAAATGGCTGCAATGGCTGGAGCTGAGCCGATCCGAAGCCGGGAGCCAGGAGCTTCTTCTGAATCTCCCACATAGGAGCAGGGGCCCAAGGACTTGAGCCATCCTCCACTGCTTTTCCAGGCCATTAGCAGGGGGCTGGATGGGAAGCAGGGCAGCCGGGACATGACAGACATGAAGCAGCCCCTCACCTATATGGATGCGAATGCTTGCAGGTGGAGGATTAGCCGGTGAGCCGCAGCGCCATCCCCTAAGGTGGCTTCAGTTCAGGCTGTGTAGCTTGGATTTCCCCTTCAGCTGTCTCTCCACAAACTTGTTATTTATAGAATCCTTAGGCCTGAGCCACAACTAATCCAGTTTATACCGATTCCAAACAATGAATGGAGTTTAAAGTTTTGTATTGTTGGAGTGACTGTCATGGTTCAATTCTTTTGTCTTTCTTTTTTTTTCTTCCAGAAATATGTCCTCATTGGACTTTCCGAGAAAATGGAACAAGTGCCCAAGTTAGTCCAGTGGCTCATCTCCATCGGTGCCAGCCTTGAGACCATAGGACCTTACCCTCTGCATGCTCTTATGCAGCTCTGCATCCAAGCAAGTGAGTCTTCTCCCAGTTCTGCACCTTTGGGGCTGGCCTGCTGGCTCTGAGCCAGGGACTCTGCAGAGCTCAAGTGAAGCTAGTGTTTAGCCATTTGAATATTCACAGTGATGAAGGCATCAGGGAAACAGCACAATCTTCATTTGTCTTGGAATCTAGCATGCAGGAGGCCCACATGGAGAGGATTCTGCTTCTCTGGACAGATCCCGGCAGCAGGTTGGAGCCTTGACATTCAAGTGAGCTTGGAAAGTCAGATATACAGAGAGGAGAAGAGACAGAGAGGAGGATCTTCTGTCTGCTGATTGACTCCTCAGGTGGCTGGAGATGAGCCAATCCGAGACCAAGCGCCAGGAACTTCTTCCTGGTCTCTGGTGCAGGTGCAGGGTCCCAAGGCCTAGGGCTGTCCTGCACTGCTTTTCCAGGCCCCAAGCAGGGAGCTGGATGGGAAGCGGGGCTGTCAGGATTAGAACCAGTGCCCCTATGGGATCCCAGCGTGTGCAAGGCGAAGAAATGGGGAAAGCGCCCCCAAGAGGAATCTGGGGGATGGGGTGCCTCTTCAAAAGGAGAGAGGAAGAGCAATGAGAATTCCCTGGAATGGACCTGGAACTGTAAGCATTCACTGCCCGCTCCTCGCCTGGACAGGAATCCGTAGGGAAGATGTACCTCACTGATGGTCTCTCCATTAGGAAAGAGCAGGGCATTTCCCACGCCACCCACTTGAAAATGTGGCCAAAATGCTAGCGGGCTTGGATGGTCTCAGAGGTGTTTTTTCTTTTTATAAAAATCTACACTCTTTATTATTTTTTTAAGATGGAAAAAGGTTTAAGATGAATAAAGGATTTCAGAATGTTCTTTTGGGCCTACAGTCACCTTAGTTTATTATTTTTTTAAACAATTTTCAAGTAGTAGAAAATGTTGCCAAAATGGTTATAAACAATGAAAACATTAGGTGATTTTCTGTATGAAAGCCCTGTGTGTGTTCCCTTCTTGCACTCAGGACTGATTATAAGATTTTCTCGTTATTTAAAAATTATAAAAGAGGAAGGAGGGACAGTTTCTTCTGATTTTCCAGCATTGCCATGAGGCCTTGTACTCTGTCCCAGGCAGAAGGGCAGGGGCTCATCCCATTTGCGAATTAGGGAAGGGAAGCAGAGAAGCGTGCCTCTGGTCCTGCATGTCGTGACTTCGGTGGAGCCTAAAAGCTGGTTCCTGTGGCTGCAGGTGGCATTGCTGTGATCAGGTGGTCAGGGTGGTCTGGTTCATTTCTCAGAGGAGAACCCTGGCACGGTGTCCGTGATACGGTATCCACGGTGATGGGGTGATGGAGAAGGTGTGTGTAGCTTCTCCAGATCTCTGGGCCTACGGTGGAGGAGTCTGAGAAAAGGACTCAGAAAATCTGGCCCATTGTCAGTAACGTAGGAGGGTCGTCTTTTCGTCAGGGATACCGGCTTGCTGATTGGAACGGGGGTGGCAGGTGCCCCACTCGGGCTCCCATCACACCTGCTGGCAGCACTGCCTGCGAGCTAACTCAGATGGAGCACTTGACCAGAGAATTGCGATTGGTCCACAAGTACCACTTTCCAGGGAGGTTGTCCTTCAACTCACATCTCTCCCTGGGGGCTTGATCAGCTAAGTAGCAGGGAGATGCACTAGGTCTGACCCTAGCCTCACAGTGGTTCACGGGGTCAGTTAGAGCCCACTCTTGCTAACGTCACTTCCTCACTCAGCTGCTTCTTTAGAGGCCCTGTCCCATTTCCCTCACTTTCTTTTTCCCTGAGAGCTTGTTCTCATTAAGTCACAAGTCTAAGAAGACACGGTTCTGCTTTCTAGGGAACCTGACCTAAGGTCATGAAGAGAACTTTCTAGAATTCATTCCTTCTGTTTACAAATTCTGCATCTTTCCACACATTTATGGGAACATGTGTTGATTCTCCATTTGATTGCCTGTTTGTTTTGCTGGTTTCCTATGTGTAGAAAGTAACATCAGTAACTCGTTTTAATTTAATTTTCTCTGTTAGAAGAAAACCAGCTTTTCAGGTGGCTAATGAAGCACAAGCCCCAGTGGAAAGGCCGAATCAACCAGAAGGATGAGAGCGGCTGCACGGTCCTGCACGTTGTCGCTGGGAACACCCCGGGATACGACGTGAAGCGTAAGTGTGAGGCCCACCGGAGGGCGCTGTGGCCCGGAGGGTTTCAGGCACTAGAACCCACACAACTCCTCACCAGGTTCCCCTGTGCCAGCGTGTGGCCCACACAGATCTTGATTTGGGTAACTCTCCATGCCCACGCAAATCTTCCGCACTCCCAGGCATGTATCTATCGCATCCTGAAACAGTTGCATTTGTGATCACGGAGATTCCTGAGGCTTGACAAACAGACAGCATCTGAACATATTAGAGGGCTGGGGGGTAGGTTGGGTTCCAGTGACAACAGAAAGCCCCTGATGCCAGAGCAACTGCCACATTTTTCTTCTGTCCCCAGATGCACTTTTCCTCTGGAAGAATATTTCGTTTCCTCTCTAGGGAATAATAAAAGAAAAATCTGAAGTCACAGCTTGTTGTCATCGTCAGGGCTATAACTGTTGCCTAGTAACCAGGTTGCCCTCCTCCTTGCTTGTTGCCAAGGAGAGGGGAGAAGGTAGAGGGGAGTGCACTTTTGAACCTCTTCAAAGCTATTGTCCTTCCCACTCCACGTGGGACCCCTGGCTTTGGGGAGTTGGGGGAACTCCCCAACACTGCTAGTTCAGGTTCCATCAACAGAGAGCCTCTGAGATTGTCCAGGCTGCTTAGGCAGCAAACTAGGCGGAAGATCATTCATGGGAACATCTCCTTATGGAAGGAAGTGTGACAAGCCCCCCTTGTTGTTCTGGCCCGTTCTAGGACAAACGGAAGACGTGCAGATGCTCCTGCACTTTGGCGCAGACCCCTGTCTGCTGGATCGCCAGTCTCGCTCCACAGTGGACGTCCTGAAGAGGAATAAGAACTTCAGAGCCATCGAGAAAATCAACAGTCACTTGGGAAGACTGGCCACGTGTTCTAAGGGCCTGTCAGGTATAGCTTCCCATGAATCAACTTTCGGGGGGCTTAGACTGGTTCCGTGATGTTATATCCAAATCAGTTAAACCATTTTTGATAAATTGTCAATGTGAGACATCCCCCATCCCCGGCTCCAATATTCAGAAGATGTATTTGTTTGTTTTTTTTTTTTTTTTGAAAACAGAATGAGACATCCCTTTTTTTGGAAAACATCTAAGATATTCTGCAAACTTCATCTACCTTCGGACAAAAAATTTTTTTTTTCTGTCCATGCGTACAGCATACACTCAGAGTTCGAACAGAACAGAAGGTGAAAAGAGTGAAGGCTATTCTTAGAAACAAATCACTGCCACCGATTTAAAACACACTTAATATCTCTTTGTTGATATTACTTTGGAACACCGGTCGTTGACAAACTCTGCATCGTAAAGGGAAGCACTTGGCTGTGCCAGTTGTATGTGTTTGTTTTTTTTTTTTTCCTGGCAGTGGGTATCCTCGTCATCCTATTCCTTAACTAGGATTTGCATGCATCTATAGGTTGACTCTAAAAGTTGAAAACCAGTGTGTGATGTTTTCATGGCTGTGTAATTGTGTAAATGTTACACTTCGGCCACGAGTAGCATGCCTGGACTGGGGGGAAAGAATAAAATACTCCGAGGAATTTGCTATTTAAGTGTGATACTCCTTAGACATTCCTGTTTGCTGAAGTGTCTGTGTTTTAATGCTTCTTGCACGGACGCAGGACTCTGGCTCATGCCATTCCCACAGATACCTTTTTTAATTTGCTTGAGTACTTAGTCAAGTCTTTAGTAAAGACTTAAGTTGTTTAATCATGAGGAAGCATGAGCAGTGGACTTATGGAAGTTTTCAAAAGTTTTTATTCTCATATTGTTTGAAAATTTGCCTGATAACAGGCATCCCGTTTCATTGATAGTATATTGTACTGCCTCTCCAATCACATTTTAACATCTTTGGAACCTGTGTATCTCTTCCACATGGATAAGATGCCCAGGCAAGTGGACTGTTTTCTGCTACTTTCCCACGCGTGTTAACAGGGAGCTAGATTGGGAGAGAAGCAGCTGGGACACAAACTGGTGCCTGGATGGAAAGCCGACACTGCAGGAGGCGGCTTAATCCTCTGTACTGTAAGGCCATTCATGCCAGTCATCTTCTCATTTTTGGATGGCTCGTATTCATGAATGAAGAATGTGTTCCCTAAATCTTAATAGATGGATAGTGTACATTTCCTGTAATTCATTAAGTGAATTTCCCCAGCGACACTCCCTGTTTTGGATGGCTGAGCAGCATGTAGCAAGCTTATGCTTCCAGAGTGGGCGACAGTCTGATGGACCCGGGATCACTGTGGTTGCCAGAGTTGGGGAAGTTTTCTGTGGGGGAGATGCAAGCTGCTTTCTCACAGTCTCCCTAGCCCACTTCCTCATCTTTCTTTGGGTTTCATCTTGTCATTTTCCTAACTTCATGAGACCGAGGCGAGATGAGTGTATGTGTCTAGTCCTCCTTCTCACAGATGTTCTTTGAAAGCTGTGTCTTTTTTTTTTTAAGATTTATTTTTATTATTATGTTTTTATTGGAAAGGCGGATATACAGAGAGGAGAGACAGAGAGGAAGATCTTCCGTCCGATGATTCACTCCCCAAGTGAGTGCAACGGGCTGATGCTATGCCGATCCGAAGCCAGGAGCCTCTTCCGGGTCTCCCACGCGGGTGCAGGGTCCCAAAGCTTTGGGCCGTCCTCGACTGCTTTCCCAGGCCACAGGCAGGGAGCTGGAAGGGAAGCGGGGCTGCTGGGATAGAACCGGCGCCCATATGGGATCCCAGGCATGCAAGGCGAGGACCTTAACCACTGCGCCACCGAGCCGGGCCCGAGAGTAGTCTGTTTTTAAGAAAGATAACTGTGGTAAGCAAGTGGATTACCTTGGCGTTGAATTTCTAGATCCTAGAGTAACAACAAACGAAAGGGCCACTAGTGCAAGATAGAAATGGTTGATTTGTTTGCAGATTTCTGTATTAATTCTAATGACCAATACTTAGAATATTGAGTCTGTTTTGTTCAACGTTGTAGTGTTTAGCGTAAATCATCCCTTTTTGGTTTTTTTTATAACTGGATCCACTGCCGTCACAGGCTAGCTGGTGACCCAGGTGGCAGATGGCAAGCCTGGCAATAGACATGTTCCTTTCGTGCCTGCCTGTCTGCCATGCAAACACAGTCAAACTTGAAACCCCCATACTCATCTGTAAACTCGCTGGCCACTTGAATACGTGAAGGTGTTTCAGACTACTGGCCTTAACTGTTTTCTTGCCATGCTAGCACAATTACTTAAATACCAGAGCGAAACGGAGGAAAAAGTAAAAAGAACAGTTAAAACGGATAGGGAAGGGGAGGACAGAGCTCGGGAAGGGCAAACAGTTTAGAGTCTACCTCGGGTTCCCCAAGTTCTCTTAGAAAGCAGTGGCACTCGTGGCTGTCACACTCTGATGGTGATCTCTGTGGGTAACTAACGGTCTCCAAGGGGAATTGTGAATTGAAGATCACCATTCTTTCGTACGCTTATTTGATGACATTCTGTAAATACGTGTTTTTTTTCCCCCTAACATTTTGTTGATCACACAAACTTTAAAACCCAAGGCGGTGTTGGTGGCTCTTTCTAAGATGCTGGAAATGTTTTTCCCTGCCCTGGTGTGATTAGCCACTGTCACATGGATTGACTGGTGAGCAGTTGAGTGTGTCTGTCTGTGTGGCTTGTGTCCTTGAGGAACAGAAAGTGTAACTGTATTTAAGTTTATGTAAGTAAATTAAAGGCCACTATATTGGGCAGTGTAGTTTTCAATTTGAATCTTTCAAAGGTCTTTCTGTTCAGAAAAGACAGAGAGTCAGGCCAGGGTCCCAGGGAGGGAATGTAGATCTTTGCTTGTAGGCACCTAGCCGCTCCCTGCCCCCACCAGTCAGGAGGGCGATGGAGATGTGGTCCCTAGGAGGGGATGCTGCCAGGGGGTTTACACTCATTTCCAACCGAAGAATCTGATGTGATGATTTTTGGTTCATATTTTTGTGAACCTGAGTGCAGTGTGTTAAGACTTAGATTTGTTGCACCTAGCATGGACATACCAGTTGGTAGGCTGGACTAAGCTGTACGTTTCTTTCTCCCTTGACTCTTCCAGAAGGTTATTGTCCACATTTTGCTGATAATAGTGATGTTGATAGGGCTGCTTCTGGTATGTAGGTGACAAACAAAACATGAGCAAAAATATGGGGCTCACTGGAAGTTTCAACCAGTGCTTCTTCAGCATTAAGACACACACACACAGAGACACACACACACACACACACACACACACACACACACACACGGGGCTAACGTGATGGCTCAACTGGCTAATTCTCCACCTACAGGCACCAGCATCCCATTTAGGTGCTGGCTGTTCCACTTCCCATCCAGCTCCCTGCTTGTGGCCTGGGAAAGCAGTGGAGGATGACCCAAAGCCTTGGGACCCTGCACCCCTGTGGGAGACCCAGAAGAAGCTCCGGGCTCCTGGCTTTGGTTCAGCTCAGCTCTGGCCATTGTGGCCATATGGGGAGTGAACCAGCAGATGGAAAATCTGTCACTCCTCTCTGTAAATCAGCCTTTCCAATAAAAAGTAGTAAATCTCAAAACACACACACACACGCACACATACACACAAAGGGGCAAGTATTGGTGCACCTGGGGCAACTGCATCTCAGTGTCTCCCTGGGAGACGCAAATTCTGGTAAATGTTGTTCGGACCTGATCCACCCACATGGGAGATGCAGATGGAGTTTCTGGTTTCTAGCTTTGGCCAAGCCGAACCCTGGTTCTTGTGGGCATTGGGGAGAAAATGAACAGATGGAAGCTCTCTCTCCGTTTGTCTTTCCGCCTTTCCAATGAAATGCAAAAAAGAAAAATTTAAAAACTACATATACAAATCATGTGAGAGCCTGTTAGCATGAGGGTTTTGTTTCAGCCGGTCCAAGGTGGACTTCAGAGTCGATGTTTTTCATCATGCAATGCCAAGGACCACTTTGATGTGGACAACCTTGATTCTGAACAATTAAAACACGGAATTTTCATCACCTGCCGTTCGTGGTCACCACCAGATGGCAACATGTCCACTTTCTTTAGTGACCGGTGGCTCTTTCTTGAGGACCTAGAACAGCAAGATTGCGATGGGAGCTCTGATTGGTTAGTGTGTGACCTTTTTAGGTGAACTCAGTCAAGGCCTTTTGAAGCCTCTTCTCTCTGGTCATCCGCTGATGAGCCAAGCTGTTTGTGCTGCGTGTTCAGCATCAACACAGTGTCTCTTTTTTCATTATTGCTGACATGGGATATTGGCTTCAAGGATTCCCATCATACTTTCCCTTTTCAGAAAGCCAATGTTTTTCTAATTTTAGAAAGTCTATTAAATGCATGAAAAAAAAGTTCTCCAAAAGCCTGCCTGTCAGAAAAAGGTGACTTGTCATTTGCTGTGATTCCATTCAATTAGTAGTTACACGTTGTAATTTTCTTTTTACAAAAAACAGATTTTATAAAAAAGAAATTGGTCAGAGTGTATATAATAAAGCCTATCTATCAGTTTTGTTTTTTATGGTTTTTTAAAAAAGATTTATTTATTTATTATGGAACAGCGTATATACAGAGAGGAAGAGAGACAGAGAGGAAGATCTTCCGTCTGATGGTTCACTCCCCAAGTGACTGCAACAGCCAGAGCTGAGCCAATCTGAAGCCAGGAGCCAGGAGCTCTTCTGGGTCTCCCTTGTGGGTGCAGGGTCCCAAGGCTTTGGGCCGTCCTCGACTGCTTTCCCAGGCCACAAGCAGGGAGCTGGATGGGAAGCAGGGCTGCTGGGATTAGAATCAGTGCCCATATGGGATCCCGGTGCATGCAAGGTGAGGACTTTAACCACTATGCTATCGCGCTGGACCCTTTCTATGTCTTTAAAGGAAGCTTTCACAACAACATCGTCTCTATTTCTGAAATATTTATTTCTATTTAAAAATACTCTTGAGTACTGTGGCAGTGTCACATATTCTCTTTCATTCTTAATTTCAAATCTGTTTATGTAAATTTGCTAAATAGGGTCATTGTGGAAAAAATTGTAAGTATATAGTCTTACGTTAAACCAAAAATTTATAGTAATTACTTGTAGTCATACATAATTGCCTTTTTGTTCAGTATTTACATAGCTATCTTTTAAAAAAATATCTGTGACTGCAATGCGTAAGCATCTATATAGCCTATGTTCATTTTCATAAAGCGTATCAGAAATTTAGAGGGGGGTGGAAACACGAAACTTTTGATATGATTTAAAAAAAATGCCACCACATTTTCTACCCATTGTTCTATCGTTTTCTGGCATCTGAAGCGTTCTGATTTATTACTGCCTTCTTCGCTTGTCTGAACCATGTAATCGAGTATTGAGAAGCACAGCCATATTATAAACATCATAACGGCATTGTCAAGCTTAGCACATTTCTGGTTTCTTTTCCTGTGACTTTTCTATTGGGATATTGCTGGAGGGAGAACAGTGGTCCGCCAAGGCCTTGGGGTCCTTGTGGCAGGCGACACGGCCGAGGTCTGCTTCCAGCGGCATCGCCTGTGCTGTCTTGCAGGCTTCGGCAGTGGCCATGGCCTCACCAATGACGCTGAGAGTTTCCGGAAGACCACCGAGCAGCTGGTGAAGTACATGAACTCGGGCAAGCGGTTGTCGCGGAAGAGCATTCTGAAGCAGCAGGTGGTTCAGAGGTTCCTGCGCCTGCTCTCCTCTCTGCGAGGTAATTCTTCCCCCGCTGCGAGGATCACTCGCGGTTTACACCTTTCATGCTCATTGGTATTCTTATATCTTTAAAAAGAATATAATACACATACATATATTATACGTGTAACTTTGAACTCAATCCCTGAACCCCATCCCCAGAGGCAACCTGTGTTATTTACTAGTTTTTTGGCAAGATTTATTTTATTTTTTGTTGGAAAGTAAGATGTACAGAGAGGAGGAGAGACAGAGAGAAAGACCTTGCGTCCGATGATTCACTCCCCAGGTGGCCATAACGGCTAGAACTGAGACCAGATCCAAAGCCAGGAGCCAAAGCCAGGAGCTTCTTCCAGGTCTCCCACGTGGGTGCAGGGTCCCAAGGCTTTGGGCCGTCCTTGACTGCTTTCCCAGGCCACAAGCAGGGAGCTGGATGGGAAGTGGGGCTACTGGGGTTAGAACCGGCGCCCATATGGGATGCCAGGCATGTGCAAGGGGAGGAATTTTAGGTGCTAGGCTACTGCACCGGGCCCTACTTACTAGCTTTTTTTGTATCGTTCTAGAGTTAGCCTTTGAATAAACCGATTTTGAAATTTACTCCAGAGGCTTTTCTCCTACAGAGTTATTGGGTAATGTTGGAGTGTAAAATTACTGTAGAAATCAAAGTTTCTATTTTTATGATATGGAAATAAAAACATTTCAAAAAATGAAGTTTAGATGGCAGGTTTTAGATAGTAGGGGAAATTCCAGAAATCCTCAGTAAGTGAAATTTAACATTTTATTTATTATTTCATGTTGATGATCTTTACATAGTTGATTAGGGCACAAAGGGTCAAGGGCTACAGGAAAGCGGGTAAGACCATTGTTTCCACATTCTCTTTTTCCTTGCTGTATCTGGGGTAAAGGGGGGGAGATAAAGGGAGAAGCCACACCCAGCCTCCCAACGACCCCAGCACCCCTGATGTGGGGCATGCTCCGAGGGCACTGCTTAAGTGGTTTCGATAGTTCAACAGTTCTGAATTGCTGCCAGTCTTGCCATTCCACACAGGATGAAATCGCTCCAGGATCCACTGGCTGACATAGTCCACCTTAGAGTCTCCGTTTGCCCAGATTTCCACTGCCAACACATGGCTGGGGTAGTTGATCAATTTGTTCTATCCTCTGTCCTCTGTCATGGTACCAAGTATTCTCTGCAGGCTCCAATGTATTGCCATATCCTCCATGTGCACCTGGACATGCTGTCCCCTGTTCCGTCTGAGCCTCTGAGGAGCCTCAGCTCTGACACATGCACTCCATGGTCAGACCATGGAACCTGCAATTCTCTCCATGGTTTGAGTTCTGAGTCTATCGGTTCAGTTAGGGGGATTCCCCCAACCCCCCAAAAAAAACTTCATCTGAGGTGATCCCAGACCACATTCTTGTGTGTACTTGCTAGTGCAGGGGCTGGCTCAGCCTGTCACCCCATCAGCTTATGCACATGCTGGTGGTTGCACATGCTGGGTCAGTTCTGCCTGCGCCCCTGGATTCTGCAAGTACAGCGACTCTGTTGTGAGTCCCTCAGGATTCATTACTTGCCGACACACACAGTGGTCTTATCCGTGGATGTCCCTAGGCAGCAATTCCACAACCCCAAGACCTCAGAGCTTGCCACTGGGCAGCCAACAGGTAGAGCCCAGCACCAGTTGGTGCAATGGATGCCCAAAAGCCCAGGATTTGCTCACCACTTGGCAGCAGTGGCTGTGGCTAGGGCCCCAAGCATTGAGTCCAACCTGGCTCAGGTACCCCCAGCAGCCACCACGCTGCTGGAAGCTTCCACTACCTAAGCCTTGAAGTCCAAAATTTAACATTTTAAAAATGGACATTTTGTAAGGTTGATATGCCTTAGGTTTTTTTTTTTTTTTAAGATTTATTTATTTTGGGCCCGGCGCGGTGGCACAGTGCTTAAGGTCCTCGCCTTGCACGCCCAGGATCCCATATGGGCGCCGGTTCTATCCCGGCAGCCCCGCTTCCCATCCAGCTCCCTGCCTGTGGCCTAGGAAAGCAGTGGAGGACGGCCCAAAGCTTTGGGACCCTGCACCCGCATGGGAGACCCAGAAGAGGCTCCTGGCTTCGGATCGGCATAGCATCAGCCCGTTGCGCTCACTTGGGGAGTGAATCATCGGACGGAAGATCTTCCTTTCTGTCTCTCCTCTCTGTATATCTGCCTTTCCAATAAAAAAAAATAATAAAAATAAATCTTTAAAAAAAAGAGATTTATTTATTTTTATTGGAAAGACAGAGTTACAGAGAGAAGGAGAGACAAAGATTTTCTGCTAATTCACTCCCTAAAGGGTAGCAATGGCCAGAGCTGAGCTCATCCCAAGCCAGAAGCCAGGAGCTTCTTTGAAGTCTCCCATGTGGGTGCAGGGTCCCAAGGCTTTGGGTCGTCCTCGACTGCTTTTCCAGGCCACAAGCAGGGAGCTGGATGGGGAGTGGAGCAGCCAGGAAACGAATTGGTACCCACAAGAGAGTCCAGAGCTTGAAAGTGGAGGATTAGCCATTTGAGCCATTGATCTGGGCCTGAGATGTCACATTTTTATATGGTTGCAGGAAGAGAGGACCAAAGAATCCCAGACACTTTCATTTCTATAAGGCAGCGTGTAATGCTTTTGGATGTGGAGTCTTAGCTTCACTTTTTACCAGATCAGTGACTTGGACCAATCATTTAACCTCTTTAAGTTTCACTGTCTTCATCCCTGCCTTCCCTGAAGAATTCAGTTCTCTTGAAACAGCGGATGTTACACATTGAGGTCGATGTCCTGACTGTAGTGGCTAGTATCTGTCAGTTGCTAGGATGGGCCGTCAGAACCCCAGGGGCTGGCATTTAGGGACGAACACGCTGCTTAGGACACTTGGATGTCCCCATCAGAAAGCCTGGGACTGAACGCTGGCTTTCCTTCCAAGTTTAGCTTCCTGCTGATGCTTGCTGATAGACCAAGATGCAGCCCAAAGCCTCAGATCTCCTGCCACCTCAAACGAGTTTTAGGTCCTGCCCGGATACAGGCAATCAGCGAGTAAAACTTCAAATGGGAACTTACTTTCTGTGTATCTTCAAAATAAATAAGTTGATTTTAAAAAGTCTTTCTTGGCTGTAAGAATGTCAAAGAAAATTACACACCAAAGACTCTAGGCTAGGGAAGGGCTGTTTTAGGTGGGATCTGTTAGGTAACAGCCATTCTGCAGGAACTGTATTTAATTTTGGGTCGTTCTGATGTTGGACCCGCAGTGCGTGGATGCCGTTCTCGTCTTTCCTTCGGGTTGTAAGGGTAAAGCCTGACCCAGCGGTCTTAGGTGACGGTCTTGTAAGAGGCCCCAGGGTGGGAATGGTCTGTGTCATTTTCCTTTCTCTGTTGGAAGCTCTGTGTTGGTGTGGAGTCCTTCTTTCTCAATTTTGTTAATTACTTTCCCTTTTCCCCCTCAATCCTGCGTTTTGTCTTTCCAGAAGATCTTCCTGCATCTCTATTCCAAAATGGGGTGGATCTCTAATCCGCCCTCTGCCTGGTATTTCTAACCTTCTCTAGAGTTTCTGAATCTGTGCTTATACTGATATCACTAGCAGTCACAGTCCTTTTGTCTGGAGTGTGCCTAAAAATGTAATCCATGGTAATTCGAACTGTGGTTGGGGGAAGAGGAGAAATGAAATGTATCTTTGTGGGACTTCATGATTTATTCTTTTTTTGGAAAGAAATTCCTCCTGACCTGGTCTGTGACATCAATCAAGACTGTGCCAACACCTTCATCAAGTTCTTACTAGCGAAGCGGAAGTGGTCTGAAGTACTCCTGCTGCTGGCCGGCAGAGCCCGCGGGGAGCTGTCCCCTGGAGCCGGCCTCATCAAAGACTGCAACCTCTCAGACCTCAATATCTGTGCCGTCATCCCCCACCTCAGTGCCTGGGACCAGCGGAAGACCCAGCTTCTGGGCTGCCTGATAGATTGTGGAGGTGAGATTGTTGGAGGCACAGCCGTGGAGAGTCATCTGAGGGTTCCAAAGGTGGGGCCAGGCGCGTTCCCCTTGCTTCTAGAGGCATTAGGAAATTCTGCCTCTTTTCTTTCCCCTTATTCTTTCATTCTTGTTTTGAAACAATGGTAGACTTCCTGCCCCGTAACTCAGTTATGCTGTGGGAACCATGTTGTTTTGTGAATTGCAGGTTCCACACTTCCCGTATGTGAGAAATGTTAGCTATGTGCAAGATCCTTGGGTAGAGATTAGCCCAAAGTCATTGCTTCCTCCTGATCTGTGACTAGGTTTCCCCCTGCACTAAATATGCTATGTGCATCCTTGTCAAGCCTTGCAACCTTATTTTATAAACAGTGGGTTGAGATTGGAAATGCTGGTTTTTAAAGAAAAAGCAAAGTATTGGTGGGTGGAAGCCTCTGCTGCCTGAATCGGAGCAGTCACACTGGCCTGGGTGTTTGGAGTGTGTTTACGTCTTGCCGGATTGGGTTTTGCTTTGTAACTGAGTTAGATACACTAATTTCCTTCCACCTCCATCTGCTACCAATGCCACTATTGATTAGGTGGCCTTTAGCACCTAACACTGTACTTCATCTCCTCTTTATAAAATGGGAGTGATGCTGGCTTCCCCCTTTTTAGGTCTGTTTTGAATAGTGGATGAGTTAATGCACACACAGTCCCTGGGCTGTGTGGCTTTCTGCTTGCTTGACCATGTTAAGGAAAATGTGTCACCCAGGAGTGTAGCCCTTAGCCACGCAAGTGCAGAATCTTGAGACACTGGCTCCACCCGCAGTTTGCAAGAAGTGCAGTGTCTTGTACACTTTACACCTTTAAATTCTTCTTCACATGGAGTATTATTCATTTACTTATGCATTGCGTGGAAAATGTCTAAAATTCCTTTTTATTCCTCAATTCAGTGAGCACTTGGAGAGTACCTTTCAGGACCAAGTACTGGGAACCAAATCCAGGGAGGCAAAGGCAGGAGAGCTGCACATGTGCAGGGCGAGGTCTGCCTTCTGCAGGAGGTCGGGGAGCCTGCAGTGCCGAGGGCTGTGGGGAACTGAGTTAAAAGGAAAACGATACGGCAAAGACAGCAGCCGAAGGCATACGTTTAGGGAAGGCAAAAGGTTGAGGAAATCTGCTTCTGTCCTGAGCACCTGTTGTATGTCAGATACGGTGTCAGGCAAGCTTTGGGTGTTCCATTGTCCTCTTGTCCTCTGCTTTGATGAGAACTGTGATTCTATGATGGGGCGAGAAGGGGGTTGGAGAGGTGATATGTGAAGGCCACTTGAAGGACCTTTCATCCTGAGGGTCCTGGGAAGCCTCTGCCCCAAAGAAAGGGTGGTGGTAGGTACATCTTGGAGGTCAGGTCAGCATCACCTCTTCCTTTGTGACTGCACGGCAGCCACAATCCGTCCCTTGTCAGGTGAATTGGGCGCTGTCTCCTCTTCCCAGGATGCAGCTCATAGATGCTCTTCTCTTCTGTCCTCCCCCAGCCTTACCCGACGGTCTCCAGGGAAGCAGCGAGAGGCCACTTGGCGTGTGCCTGAAGCGTGAGGACTTTGATCTGGCTTTTCTTCTCCTGAGCAAGGGTGCAGATCCTGGTGGCGTGTCTCTCAAGGAAGGTGACACTCCATTACATGCGGCACTCCATATCTTTCTAGAAATTAAAGGTAAGCCCTTGCTTTCTTAAAGTATTTCCCTTGAGAAGCAGACTGGATGTTAGAACAAATGTCTGATGCGATGGTTTTTGGTCTTTCCTTTGGGGGAAAAACAGGGATCTGAGAAGATCCGATTCTTGGCAATGCCTAACCATCTCTCTTGGCCTCTTGTGCATGGCCTGATGGAGAAGTGGCCACTGTGGTGAAGGAGCAGGGTGGACTGACCAGTGATTCTGCAGTTCCATGATTGACTGTTGGTAGTCAGAAAATGCTTTCCATTAATGTACACATTTTCTAGGGTTTTTACTTAAAGGAATTTGCCTAAAATATTGCCAAGTTGTTTCTGAAGATGCCATTGACATTCAGGCTGGCTAATTCTTGATTTTTTTAGGGACGCTTCGGTTCTAGCAGGATATTTAAACATTGTTCTTGTCCTCTGTCCATCAGGTGTTAGTGGCACCTTCGTGGGTTTCAAAAATCACAAATGTCGGCCAGCGTTGCCACATGTGCTTTGGAGAGCAAATCACACTGGGTTGAAAACCACCAAGCTATTTCATGCCTACCAGAAACCTGGGGGGAAGTTGTGTGTTCTGAAAATGTCCTAGGCTGGTATCTCTCTTAAATCCAGGATCTGTCGTCCACTGAAGAGTGTCTCAGTATTCACAAGGTTGTGTTTGTGTTTTTCAGAGGACATCGGTTTTAACTTCCTCAGTTACCTGCTGAATCTGTTTTTGACCAACCCGATCAAATTTTGCTACCTCAACCCCAATGTCCAGGATGGCGATGGGAACACCCTGATGCACATCCTGTTTCAGAAGGGCATGCTGCAGCACATGAAAACGCTGCTAGAGCTGCTGGTGAAGTTTGACATCAACTTTAACCTGAAGAACAAGCAGGGCAAAGATGCACGCTACCAGATTAAGAAGAATGACGCTCTGCTCCTGGCCTGGAACAAAGCTGTGGCTGAGAACAAGAGGAAGAGCCGACAGAATCCTGCCGCCCTCCTGGGGAAGCTCTCACGGCCCGTTGCCCCTGGGCACATGTGCCAACTCAAGTTGCAGGGTTCCTTGAAATCCCTGCCGTGTGATACCATTGTTGGAGTGCTGACCGAGGAAGGCACGACTCCTGACAGCTGGGAGACTCTCCCGGGAGCCCTCGTGACCAGACAGAAGCCGAGGTCCGTCAGACCACACTCCGTGAGAGATTGCCTGGTGCAGGACATCATGGCTTTGATTCAGCAGGTTGAACTGGACACATTCCCCCCCGAGGACTGTCCTCAGCGATCTGAACCGTGGAGCACAGATACCAGCATGAACAGAAAGAAAGTTGAACTCCAGAAAACCCTAGGCAACTCTGACTGTAGTGAGCACAATCCTGCCATCCCCAAGACAGGGGAAGGACATCCTCAAGCAGGCCTTGGGGACTCCCAGCTCATCCCTGTTGTGGGGAAGGGCAGCGTTGACCTGGACTGGAGCATGCAGGAGATTGAGGCCTACTTTCAGGACTTCGATAACATGACCTGGGAGATTGAGTGCACTTCAGAAATGCTTAAGAAGCTTTCCAGTAAGGTCATGACCAAGGTCATAAAGAAGAAAATCATCCTTGCCATCCAGAAGCTGGGGAATGGAGAGTGGACCCAGGGCTTGCAGAAGCGGTTGAAGCACCTGAAAGGAAGCATCCAGCTGTTTGAAGCTAAGCTGGACAAAGGAGCGCGGATGCTGTGGGAGCTTGCCATCGACTTCTCCCCTCGATGCAGTGAGAATCCAGAAAAGACCATCACCATGGAGCGGAACACGTACACCGTGGGGAGATCAGGGCGCGTTTACACTGAGATCATCCGCATCTGGGATGTTGTCTTAGATCACTGCAAACTGTCTGATTCTATTAGGGCCGTCTGCAATGCCTACAACCGGGGCTCGTCCTGCGTCCTGCGCAAGAAGCTGAAAGGCGTGAATAAAGGTCAGGTGCTAGTGAACAAGAAAATCCAAAGACACGTACCCCGTTGCTATGTGGAGGACATAGAGGAGGAGACAGAGTGTGTGGATTTCGAGTATTTTCCCCCAGCTAGTGTGGTGGGGACAGAGTATAACATCATGAAGTTTCACAGCTTCAGCACCAACATGGCCTTCAACATCCTCAATGACATGACGGCCACAGTGGAGTATCCCTTCAGACTGGGTGAGCTGGAGTACTCTGTGATCGACCTCAACCCCAGACCACTGGAGCCCATCATCCTCATTGGGCGCAGTGGCACTGGGAAGACCACCTGCTGCTTGTACAGGCTCTGGAAGAAATTCCACATTTACTGGGAAAAAGCCAAGCAGGCAGGAAGCCCACTGCTGACCAGACAGATTTGTCCAAAGAGAAGGTTAAAAGTAGAACTTGGACAAGAGGTTTTAGACAGGGAGGAAGAGGAAGAAGAGGTGGAGGAAGAGTCAGGTTCCGCTGAGTCGGAAACAGTGGACAGTCCAGATGAGGAGGAGAGGGAAGCCTGTGCAGGAGGAGACAATGTGGAACTGGGTCAGGCAGCGGAAGGATGCGGCTCAGGACGTTCCAGCCAGCTGGAACATCTGCATCAGCTCTTTGTGACCAAAAACCATGTCCTGTGCCAAGAGGTGCAGAGGAATTTCATTGAGCTGTGCAAGTCTACCAAAGTCACCAGTCACTACAAACCCCTGGACCCTCATGTGCACAAGCTCCAGGACCTGAGGGATGAGAACTTTCCTCTGTTTGTGACCTCCAAACAGCTGCTCCTCTTGCTGGATGCTTCTCTGCCTAAGCCATTTTTTCTAAGAAATGAAGATGGGAGCTTAAAAAGAAACATTAGGGGATGGTCCACACAAGAGGACTTGGTCATCCCCAGTTGGCAGGAGGATGAGGAAGAGGCTGAGGCGGACGGCGAGTGTGGTAAAGAAGATAAAGCTCTGGAAACCCATGCAGGTGATGGGGACCCCCGGGTGTATGTGACGTTTGAGGTGTTTGCCAATGAGATATGGCCCAAGATGACCAAGGGGAAGTCCTCCTACAACCCTGCCCTGGTTTGGAAGGAAATCAAGTCCTTTCTGAAGGGTTCTTTCGAAGCCCTCACCTGTCCCCAGGGCAGACTCACTGCAGAAGCCTATGAGAAGTTAGGGAGGAAACGCTCCCCCAATTTCAAGGAAGACCGGAGCAAGATCTACAACCTCTTCTGTCTGTATCAGAAGATCAGATCCCAGAAAGGTTATTTCGATGACGAAGATGTACTGTACAACCTCTACTGGAGGGTGTCGGAGCTCAAGGTGCTGCCGTGGTCCATCCACGAGCTCTACGGCGATGAGATCCAGGACTTCACCCAAGCCGAGCTGGTGCTGCTGATGAAGTGCATCAACGACCCCAATGCCATGTTCCTCACTGGAGACACGGCCCAGAGCATCATGAAGGGTGTGTCTTTCCGCTTCAGTGACCTGTGCTCGCTGTTCCACCATGCCAGCAGAAGCACCGTGAACAAGCAGTATGTCGTCCGGAAACCCAAGAAGATCCACCAGCTGTACCAGAATTACAGGTCTCACTCAGGTACATCTGGGCCTTGAACTAGCCTCCGGAGGTGATGCTTGAGGACCAACCCTAGAGCCAGGGGTTGGGGGAACTTTGAAAGTTGCAGGCTGGTTCTTCTTAGGCTTGTATAGCTGAGGGCAGGGTGGCGTTTTGGAGTTTCTTAGTAAACATTCCTGCATGAGAGATCTGACTTCAACTACTCATTCCTAAGTTGGCAATCCAAACTTGGTGAGTGGAAGTGGCCCTTTAAGTAATGACATCTTAAGGAGTTTCTCGTTACATGAAAACTTTCTGGGCAACCTTTAAAGTGCTTCATAAAGTAATATGCCAGTTATGCTGTTTAATCCTTAAAGCCGCTTTTCTCCCAAAGAGAAGCAAAACAAGGGGAGGGGAGGGAGTAAGAAATCACACTCAAATGCCATTAATTTGCCTCTCAATATTTCCTTTTTCTGGACTAGAAACATTACATAGTCATCACACTTAATACCTGCAACAGCCCCAGGCAGGCATTATTTGCATTTTACAAAGGAGGCAACCAAGGCACAGAGCATTTAAATCATGTAACACCAAAACCAGGGTATCTTCTTTGGGGTTTATGGATGCCAACAAATTTTTCTCCTGAATTTTACAAGTGCCCTTGGCTAGTGCAGAGTACCACTTTATGTAGTTGAAAGCTTCACTTAATGGAATCATGCCAGCCATCTTTCTGTGACTGTCTTTGCTTTGTGCTGTTTTAGAGATTTCCACACCTGGGTGAGGAGGAGCTTTGGCTCATGGCATGCTAATCATTACTGTGAGCATTCTACTGCTACTGTGCCACAATTTGTTACTCACTTTCCAATTATGATAGGCTTCTACTGGGTTATTACTGTGACATAAATCTCTTTGGATCTTTATGAGACCCTCAGCTTTGTTTACTCTTTGTTCGCTCCCATGGTGGTGTGGAAAGACCTCTGCTGTGGCTTTCATTTTCATTCCCTTCAGTCTCAGCGCGTATACTGCCGATTCAGTTTCCTGCAAATTGTCTGTTCTTGTTGTTTGCCTACATTTTAAATGGTTTGCTTCTTGTGTCATCTTAAGAGTTCTTTAAGGATTTTGCCTTCACATTCTCTGTCAGTTTTATATATTGCAGTTTCCTCTCACATTATGTTCTTTGTTGTTTTGATTTTGTTGTGGGCTACATCCCAAACTAGTTGAAAGTATTACCGTGGAATTCCCAGCTGGGTTTGTAGTCTGATGCACAAGAAGCCGATCCCTGATTTCTGGTTAGAGAGGGATAGGAGGTGTTTATGGCCAAGCACAGAGCAAGGAGCTGGGCAGCTATTGCTTAGTTACGCGGCTCCCTAAGGAGTCAGGGGTGATGGTTTGTATAGACTGGGGACTGAAATTGGGACTGAGAGGTGCATGATCAGTTCATGTCCAGGTTCCTGGTTGGTTAGTGGAACTTGTAACTTCCCCTTGATTGATCAGTGATGCCATGTTCCTTAGGGAATTTACGATGGCCAGTGGGCTCCAGTTGGTCTGAGAGTTACGTGAAGGTGGCAATTATATTCTGCCAGGACTTGGGATTCCCCCATACAGATTACCCCAGTTCAGTACTGGTCTTCAAGGTTCTTATCTACTAGAAAAGGAAAGGACTGTTAGAATGTGGCAGGGTATTGGATCAGAAGTGAAGCCACGGGGACAAGAACCGGGCCAGTGTCACAGGGGTGGTGTTACCTGATATGCCACAGTTGGATCCGCACAACCCATAGTCTTAATTGTTGAGCAAACTGGGGCCAGATGGTGGTATATCAGATTAAGCATCTGCCTGCAAGCACTGGTATCCTATGCAGATACTGGTTTGTGTTCCAGCTGCTCTACTTCTGATTCAGCTTCCTGCTTAGGGCCTGGGAAAGTAGCAGAGAATGACTCAACTCCTTGGGTCCTTGAACCCATGGAGACGTGGAGGAAGCTCCAGTCCCTGGGCTTCGGATCAGTTTAGCTCTGGCCATTGTGGCCATTTGGGGGGGCGGGGTGACTCAGTGGATGAAAGACTTCTTTCTCTGCACTCTTCTGTAAAATATGCCTTTCAAATAAAAATAAATAAATCTTTCAAAAAGATTTGAGAAAACAGCACATGAATTTCTTAAGGCAGATTCTTCATTCTCTAGTGCTACTGTAGACTGAATTAATTACTTTAGGATTTGGAATTATTCCAGCCAAGAAGAGAGGCGGAATTAAATTTGGTTGAGAATTCTTTCGGGTGTGTGTATTTTTCTTAACCTCCATCTAGCAAACAGAATTGACCTAACTGACAACCACAAGTAAAGACTAGATCTCTTGAAATGCAGGGGGTTACCTGGTGATTACTTGTTTTAAAAGCAGACATGTTGGCATGACCAAGATTATTAAACCAGATTGAAAACAGGCCCTCAGTTATTAACAGATGCCTAGTTTGAGTTATAAGCCTGTTTGGACTATCCAAAAATTTGCCAAGTTCAGTAAAAATTATGCTTCAATACTATAAACAACTAAATATAAAAATGAAAAGAGACACGAGACAGCTGAATAATACCCTATAACCATTTTAAGGCATATAGCAGCTGGTTATGTGTAAACTAAAATTGAAATGTCAACGAAGTAGTCACAGGATGTGGTTAAGAACTTGCATTTTCTAACACATTGTTGCAGTAGTACAGTTCAAATCCAGTCATGATTCCTTCATTGCGAGCATGTACCATGCATAGAGTCCAGCATCTTATTGTCCAGATAAATTCAACAGTTTCTTTGGGAGACCATTCCTGGTCTGAAAGTAGAGCTGGCAGAATATCATCCCCTCCAATGAAAAGCCACAGCATAACATCAACAAAAATTTACAACACTATGGAGTTAATTGACATGGTATGGAGTGAATGGAGTGACCAATATGTTAGAAAATGCAAGTTCTTAATGATGTCCTGTGACTACTTCGTTGACATTTCAATTTTAGTTTACATATAACCGGCTGCTATACGCCTTAAAATGGTTATAGGGACTTTTTGTACCTTGTCATTTAGGTAAAATGTACAAGGTACAAAAAGCTCGAAGAGCTCCAAGCTGACTCAACAAATAAAGGTCTTCTCCAAGGTGTATTCTCATCAAATTGTCAAAGTTAAGAGAATCCTAGGCAGTGAGAAAAAACGTGAACTCTCATATGAAAGAAAAACGATTAGATAACCATCAGGTTTCTCAGCAGAACCTACAGGCCTGAAGAATGGAATCATATATTCAAGGTCTTAAAGCACCATAGCACAGAAGTTAAGTCTCCACCTTGTAGAGACAGCATCCTGTATGGACACTGGTTCACGTCCCAGCTGCTCCACTTCAGATTCAGCTCCCTGCTTAGGGCCTGTGAATGGGAAAGATGGATCAAGTCCTCGGGCCCCTGCACCCACAGAGGAGACCCTGAAGAAGCTCCTGGCTCCAGATTAGCCCAACTCTGCCCATTGCAGCCGCTTGGGGAACCAGCAGGTGGAAGATCCCTCCCGACTCCATCTCTGTGTAACTCTGAATCTGTTGGCATGGCAACAGCTTGTTTTCTACCCTGTGAAGGATAAAGATGCTGTGCAGAGCTGAGATGGAGGGATTACAGTGCTGTAATAGTATCTAACAAATGGTAACATTGACTGAAGTTCCAAGTTGCTCATTTTAGGATCATTCCTTGTGCAAAGTTTGATATAGCTGAAAACAAAATGGGTTTCTTGGTCAATAATGGCCATTTCTTTCTTTTGAAGTAAGTGGTTTCTTGTGTAATTCTACCACAGTTGACAGGCTTAATTTTATCTGTCTCCACCAAGCAAAACACTTGATCATGCTAAAACTTTTTTAAGCTTTTAATAAAGCATACTTGTGGAGCTCAATGAAAGTGGATATATGTGACTTCCTTAAGGCACAGGGCAGGGTAGCTTGCACAAGAGTTAAAGCTACTGTTTAACTCCTTTACACTAACTATATTAGAGATTGAGGTGCTGCGCAGCTTCTTTCTTGCAATTTTTTCAGTTCTCTTTGTGAATAACATCACTTCTGATGGCGTCCTTGGTAATGATGTACAAAGAATTCTAGCAGGTCAAGAATAAGATCCTTCTCCAGCACCACCACCTTCTTCATGTTCTTTAAATTCCACGTTCTCTTCCTTACCAGGTGCTAAATAAGACAGACCGAACATGAATGGGAATCATTTCTGATGTGTTAGGATGTTTAGGATTGGCTCTAGCTTTTGCAGGTCCTCCAGTTTAAATTCTTTCGGGGACCATATGGACTGCAAAGCTGCCCTTTGTAATTCTAAGCATGTTGCAGTCTGGCCTGTGGTTTTAATTTGTTCTGTGAATTCAGAGTTGTGTTTATCCTGGGCCTCTGCTTGTATGTGGCTTGTTAATATCTGACACTTGCCTGATGCCTCCGCCAGTGGGCACTTGAACACTGTGGCAGATTCTAGGTCAAGTCCAACTTAGACAGTGTCCTCTCCTATTTATTCCTGAGCAAGGTCTGTCTATTGAGCGCCCTACTTCCTTGGCCTGGTATTTATTTACAGGGTCTCCCCAACATTTATTAACAGGGTCAAAAGGAACCACGATAGCCACTGCTTAATTTGTTTTTTTTTTTTTTTTAAGGATTTATTTACTTATTTCCAAGGCCAGATGAGGAGAGCTAGGGAAAGACGAAGAGCTGTTTCTCCTTCAGTTCACTTTTCAGCCAATGGAGCAGCTGGGACTTGATCTTGAGACTTAAACAAGCACTCCAATAAGGGATGCTGACATGCAAGCAGGGCCTTAACACGCTGCTTTGCTCTACTATGCAGTGGGCCCTTGTGCCTTTATCCGATTCTTCCCTTAAGGTTCACCTTTGGACCTTGCTAGCTCTTACTGGGGCAGGAGCCTCGGTAGCAGCTGCTTTGTTGGTGTTCCCCTCTCCTTTGTAATAGTAGTAGTGGGGACACATGTCATGATGTTGTATCTAGACGTTGTATTCTTTCACTAAAGGATCGATCTATTTGTTTTTATTTATTTAATTTTTCTTTTTCACCCTCACCATTCCTCCTCACCGCCAGTGTTTTATTTATTTATTTATTTTGAAAGTCGTGGAGAGAGGAAGAGAGACAGAGAACTCTTGCTCCTGCTGATTCGCTCCCTATATTATCCCAGTGGTCAGCACCGGGCCGAACTAAGACCAGGAGCTCCCCAGGCAGGTGGCAGAGGCCTGAAACTTGGGCCATCTGCTGCTGCTTTTCCCAGGCCATTAGCATGGAGCTGGAAGGGAAATAGAGTAGCTGGGACTTGAACTAACAACCATCTGGAATGTTGTTGCAACAGGCAGCTTAACATGCTATATACCATATTTCTGGGCCCTGCATATGGTATTCCATGTACTATTGCCTGTCAGGCACCTTGTATCCTGAAGAGTAATGGATAGATACGGGAAATGCGTATTGAGCTCAGCTTCAGATCCTAGTAACTTCCTCATGATTTTCTGACTTTGTGGCAGCTGTTTCTAAAACTGAAGTTGTATTGTCTATCTCACTGAGTTTCTGTGAGGATCAATCAGGATGATTTTAAGGAGGTGCCTACTGTGTGATTGACCGTTAATGTCACTTCAGATCTTAAATGTGAGATGAGACATGGGGAGAAAGCTATTTGGGAAATCATTTTCCCTGCCCAAGCAGTTTTTGTTATTATTGTCCTCTCTCCACTGTGTACAGCCTGGGGGGAAAGGGCGATGGGAGGCCTCCATTGCTTCCCCAGCTAGCAGCCAGCACAGCTGTTACCATGGTAACGAGGCTTGCAGTGCTCTTAAGTTCCAACCAGGGGGAACAGGATAATTCCCATTTTCTTCCCACAGCCTGTACTGACCATTTATCCAGGCATTCTAATAGCTCTAATTAGATTCTGTTTTCTGCCTTCCATCTTTCTTATCAGGTGGTTATCTCTAATGTGAACATAAGTTGAGGGTGATGTGACCTCCCACAAGGCCCTTTCAGCACAGCAACCCTTTTTTTGTCTTCATCCCCTGCCTGCTGAGTAGGATGCCTTAGCGCTAGTGGGTATTAGAAATAGGTTTTGCAAATATACGCATTGACAGGGCCAGTGGCACTTCTTAGGAGATGAGCGAAGCTGGAAACAGGTGGCCAACAACGCCTCAGCCATGTGCCCAGTCAGACATGTGCTTTCTGTTTGTTCCAGGAATCCTCAACCTGGCATCTGGAGTGGTGGATTTACTTCAGTTCTATTTCCCAGAATCTTTCGATCGCCTTCCTAGGGATTCTGGCCTCTTCGATGGTCCCAAACCAACCGTCCTGGAGTCCTGTAGTGTAAGCGACCTGGCAATTTTGCTAAGAGGGAACAAAAGGAAAACGCAGCCCATTGAATTTGGAGCCCATCAGGTGAGCTGCTTGTAATTGTATTTAGGTTTTGAAATAAAAGGCAGTTTCAACTGAAAAAAAAAAGTTGCCAAGGCTGAAGTTATCCTACAAGGTAGAATTGCTAAGCCCCTGTTTCAGGGGGGTGAGTTCCTGGGCTGAGTGAGTGATTGTCTTCATTTTGCCATTGGCCTGGCTGGCCCTGTCGTGCTGACTGTTTCTCATTAAAGAGATAAATTGTTACTGAGCTTTTCCTTGCAGAATTTGATGCTTGTTTTTATTTTTCTGCAGGTAATCCTTGTAGCCAATGAAATGGCTAAGGAGAAAATTCCAGAAGAGCTGGGGTTAGCACTTGTGCTAACAGTGTATGAAGCCAAAGGCTTAGAGTTTGATGATGTCCTCCTTTACAACTTTTTTACGGATTCAGAGGTATATCATTCTGAGTTCTGTTATTTTACATTTTTAATTAATTATTTTTACTTGGAAGTCAGAATTATGGAGAGAGAGAGAGAGAGAGAAATTTTCCATCTACTGGTTTACTCCCAAATGGCTGCTATAGCCAGAGCTGAGTTGATCTGAAGTCAGGAGCCAGGAGCTTTTTCCGAGTCTCCCATGTGGGTGCAAGAACCCAATGATTTGAACTTTGTTTCATTGCCCACTTCAGCACATTGCAGAGAGCTGGATCGGAAGTGAAGCAACTGGGACACAAACTGGCACCCATGTTGGATGCCAGCACTGCAGACAGAGGGTTATTAATGTTGTGCCGTTGTGCCAGTCCCACTTTTCTTTGTAATTATGATTTATTTTGTTCATTTGAAAGGCACAGTTACAACACACACACACACACACACACACACACACACAGCTTCTATTCACTGGCTCACTCTCCAAATGGCCATGTGGCCAGGGCTAGGTCAGATTGAAGCCAAGAGCCAGAAGTTTGTTCTGGGTCTCCCACGTGGGTACAGAGGCCCAAGCCATTGGGCCATCTGCCACTGGCACATTCATAGGGAACTAGATCGGAAGTGGAGTATCTGGGACATGAACTGGTGTCCATATGGGATACCAACATCTCAGGTAGCGGTTTTACCCACTATGCCACAATGCTGCTCTCTGTACTGAGTTGTCTTTACACCACACATGTACAAAGGGGCTTCACAGTGTTCATGCAAAAATGGAATAAAAAGTTAAAATCTTAGGAGGTGAGTGTTTGGCACCGTGGTTAAGATGCTGCTTGGAGCACCCAAATACCATAGTGGAAGGCTTGGGTTCTAGTTCTCGCTCCATGCCCGAGTCCAGCTTCTTGCACGTGCACACTGTGGGAGGCAGCAATGAGGACTCAAGTAGTTGGGTCCCTGCAACCCCCAAGGGACGCTGGCCTGGCCCAGCCCCAGTGAGTGAACTACAAGGTGATGCCTTGCCCTCTATCTGTCTCTCTCCCTGCATCTCTAATGTCCTTTAAAAAATTAAATATACGTATTATATGAAAAAGTTTTTGAAACCACCTTGTAGAGTCTATCTGAGCTGAATTTTCACTTTGGGGAAAAAAAAAAATTGGAAGCTGAGAATAGAAGAGTTGGTGACAGGTGCTTGAGCGTGCGTGGACTATCATCCATTCAGTGTGGTCCTTTGTGTGTTTAGCAGTGGATTTTGATGGTGGCTACGGATTGCCTTTCAGCATTGTGACCGGCTGTCCCCTGTCCTCTTCTTGGCTCTCTTGCACTCACCTTTTCTAAGCTTGGAACCCAAGTGCCAATGTCCAGTTTTCATTAACTGCAACTTGTAGTTGGCTGTGTTTGTGAAGGAAACTCCAGTTGTTTTGGTTCAAGTTGATGCTGAAATAGCGAAGGCTTGGATCCTTCGACCGTGTGCTTGCACCGGTGGCTTAATGATGAGTTGCCCAGAATCAAAATAATTCCAAACTGCATCTTTTCGTCTGCTTCATCCTGTGCACACAAGATTTCTTCAAAGCCTGCTATTGTAATGCTTCCCAGGTGGATATGTTTTATAGTTCCTGGCACAAAGGACTCCCTGAATCTCTTCATTTATAACCTCTAGATCAAAAAGGGTTATCAGCAAATGAACAGACATGCAATAGTAAAATGAGAGAAAAAGTGGCACATAGATTCCTGGCCTGCTGTCCTTGGGCAGCTGATTTGTCACTTCTTCTGAGGGCATCACCTGAAGACTCCCGATCAGGGCTTGTTACATGATGTGGATAACTAGGAGAGCTGCTCTTCTTGTTCCCTGATTTACAGCACCTGCCACTTGGGCAAGCATGAGAGAGAGAGAGAGAGAGAGAGAGAGAGAGAGAGAGAGAGAGAGGTGGTGGCGTCCTCGTTGTCTGTGCTGTTCCTGTCTCTGCTAGCACATTTACTTTTGTTTGTTCAGTCACATGGTCACCAGGGCTGTCACTGAGGTGAGGGAGGAACCAAGCAGTGATCACAGATCCTTGTCTTGTAGGTTGTTGCTTCATCTGGGCTCTCAGTCACTGCCCAACTGTCCTTCCATTTGGACTTGGAATGGTGTCTGCTGTCTGTCCTGAGGCTCAGGGAGGAATCTATTCTTTTACACTCATGTGTGGGTGTAAATGACACAGAGGGACTTTGAAAACTGTGGCTTTTGTGGATTGTTTAACTGACTTGGCGAATAGGCCCCCAGGAGCAGACCTAATAGAATTTTGCCTTTCACAATTATTGGTGCCTAGAGAAGCTGGAAGACTTTAAACTGCTGCTGCTTTTATTGCCACAAGTCTACCAGGCCTGTATCCGTGCTCCAGATGCTGTCCTCACTGCTAAATGCTGTGTTGGAAGCAAAATGTGTTGGATTCCTGGAAGCAGGTCAGCCACCTGCCTCTGAGCAGCTTTTGCCTCTCTCCCAGTAGTTTTCAACTACATTACGCTTCCCTTCCCCTGTCGAGGTCACCTGTCCTCACTCAGGCTGCCGCCAAGAGGATCCTCTGAAATGCCAAGCCTGTGTCTTTTACTGGCTTTCCTTGGCAAACAGTCCTGCTCTTTAAATAGCACCACCAAAAAGCTTTGCGATGTTTTAAGCTTTGCAATTACTTAAATGATTTTATGATTCACATCTTTGCAGGGTATGCTGATTCATTTTACAGTTGATTTACAAAACAGCCGTATCTAGTTAGAAGACAGTGTTTAAGGCAGTAAGCATAATTTACATAATTTCTGATGTGGCCACTTAAGCAGAAATGAGTTGTGTCCACTTCATCTTTTCAACATGCTTGAAAAGTTTCATAAATGAAAAGGAGCAGCATTTTTTATTTTTAAAGAAAAGACTGTTGGAGTTACCTAGTCCCTCTCACAAGATACAGTGAAGTATGAAATCGGAAATGTCTTTGGGATTTTGGATTATAAATACTGCAAGTAAGCTAAGTCTTACTAGGGTATGGAAACCACATCCTGGTGGCCAAATCCAACTCAGCAGCTTTATCTTAAGAATGGATTTTTACATTTGAAGAGGTTGGAAAGAACAAAAAGAATGATATTCCATGGCATAGGAAAATGATGTGAAATTCAGTTCAGTGTGCACAAAGTTTTATTGAAATACAGCACATTCCTATTTTTACACAATGACTACCGGCTGCTTTAGCAAGGGAGCCCATGTGTCCTGCAAAGTCAAAAGTGTTTATCAGTTGATCCATTACAGGAAAAACTTGACAACTCCTTGTCTATGTAGTCTACACAATCACCTTGTTTTAAGGCTCAGATGAAAAAAAAAAGTGGGTAAAATACCAAGTTTTGCACTCGATCCCTGACATTGGTCGTCTCCTTTGATTTTCACAACCAATGGGTAGTTATGTTATCCTTAGTTTCTAAAGAGAGGAGAATAAACACTCTCATAGAGCACACAGATAGTGATGGCAAGCGCTGAGTTGTGAATTCGTCCTGTGTTTTCTGATTCTGCCTTTTGGAGTGCACATCTTCTGAATTTTCTTCCATCATTGGTTTCCGGGTTTAGAAGGGGTATCTCTTACGCATGTTGTAAGGAGGAATGAAACTTCCCTGCCCCCTTTACCTGTTGAAATTTTTTTCAATTAGAACAACTTCCTGGGCCTTTACTTTCCTGTCGGATGCGGGTCCTGGCACCTGGTTTCCAGTTGTCCTTGCCAAGTGTCTGAGGAGTTCTCATGGCAGCTTCTCCGACCCTGGCCTCTGTAGCTTCAGCCCCATCTGCCCATTCTAGGGCCGCAGGTTGGACCTCTCCTTAGCGCTGGGGTTGAAGCCTTGGCCCTCAGATGGATCCCATTCATTCAGGAAGCTTGAGGAGGCTTTGAGCATAATTCAAATGTGTCTTCTGCTGGCCTTTTCATTCGTCGTCATTTTTCAGGCTTGCAAGGAGTGGAAGATCATTTCTTCATTCACTCCTTCCTCATCCGAGTTCAGAGATGAAACCCAACCACTGGTTGAAGTGCCCTTAGAGAAACCAAGCTCCTTTCGGGGTCGAGCTGTCATGACGAACCCAGAAATGTACAAGGTGAATTTCTTCTGTTTGTCCACACTTTTTTTATATATTGAAAACAAGGCTGGAAAAAGAAGAGGAGGAGATAAAGAATCCAGCATTAAATTTGACCAGTCTTCTTGCACAACAGCAATGGGAAGAAGCATGGGTTTCCTCCTGTTGGAGACCCAGGCTGGACAGGCTGGGCACTATCTGAAAGTGAGCGGGTTGGGCTGTAGTTTCTATTCCTCTCTGGCACTAAGCATCACTCAGAAATTTCGATGCGATTCTAGGATATTTCTTAAATAATTTAGTACTCATGATATAATGAAAATGTAAGAGCCGTTTAATTTTTAAAGTCAGTCATGGCAGTTGTGTAAGAGACAACCATTGGGATAAATTGAAGTGAATATAGGACATGTCTGTACTACCTTTGTAACTTCCAGTGAATGTATAATTATTTCAAAACTGGAAGTTAAGCACCTAACAATATTCAAGAACCAGCCTGTGTGAATGGAAAGGGCTAGAGTTTCATCTAGCCTCAGTAGGCCTCACTCATCTGTGCTGTGACCACAGTGGGCTGTGCTGTAGCTGTCTAAATTTCAGTTTTTGTATTGTTTTAGTTTTCTCTAAAACCTAGTTTTGCATTAGACCCCTCAGACTGAAGGCTTACTATCTTTGTCTTTAGCTCCTTAACGGAGAGCTGAAGCAGCTGTATACAGCCATCACGCGGGCTCGTGTCAACCTCTGGATCTTCGATGAAAACCGAGAGAAGCGGGCTGCTGCTTTCAAATATTTCATTGGGAGGAATTTTGTCCAAGTTGTGAAGACAGATGAAAATAAGGGTAAGGACTTTCAGATAGCTCAGTTTCTCTGAGCTGTTCTTAGGGTCGAATTTGAAAGGTATCATTTTCTGAAAAAAACACTTTCCTAAGAAATGGGAACTGTTCTTCAGTTGCTAAAATGTATATAGGAAAAGTATGATGTAAGGGGGAGCAGGGTGGGGTTAACTCCTTCGGGGACTGTCTTTTATTTTCCTTTTACTCCTTCTTACCTTTCTCATCATAAATATGTCGTTCCTCTGTGCCACATTCTTCAGTGACTTCAGTGCCTACACGACATGTCCAGTTTCTGCATCAGAGCATACCAGCTTGATTGTGGTCTGGATCCCAACATGCTAATTAGCAGCTCCTCTAGCTTCTATGCCCTGAACTCCTCTCCTAGCCCCAGTTTGCTCCTGATTTGTGATTTCCCTTCACACCCATGGTTCCTCCTGCCTGGCATGCCAACCCACCCCACCCCACCCCCCTGCCTCCTTTTGATCCCTTACTGCCCTGTTACCCAACCCCGGGGAGTCCAAGGACCAATTCCTCCCTTAGCTCGTCTTTCTGCTCTCTGATCTATCTGCTTCTCTCATGATTCCTTTCTTGTGTTTCTTTATCCCTGTTATCAACAGCTTTGTACCTTGTTGCTGCAGAGTCAAGTCTGTGCTTGACACATGATAGGGAACAAATCATTATTGAGAGGATGAATGGCCTATAGTTAAGGCCCACTAGGAATCCAGAATGTGGTATCTGAGCCATTAATTCAACTTACATATTTACTTATATTCCTTTAATTCACTCACAACTTCTTGAAACTGGTAGAAGTTTCCCTTTCACCTTTCTGAAGAGTCAGTACACTGTGTTCCAACAAGATACACAAAGAAGAGAACTTTGTGTTTGGGTAAATCGCTCGCTAAGAACACTCCCTGATTCTGGCATTCTACCCACACAAGGACAAAGTGGATAAAAGATAAAGAAAATGGGCCCTGTCGCCCTGTTGCAGAACATAGAGTGCTGTGTGCTTTTGGCTGCCTTTCAAGATCTGTGAAAAACATACCTTTTGAACCAGATGCTCTGCTTCTGGTCGTCTGAGCTATTTTTGTTAAAAAAAAAAAAAAACTCAAAGATCCATGCACAAGGAGGCGCCTCACAGTCCTGTGTATAACCACAGAAAACTAAAGGCAGTATTGTGTCTACCAATGTGAAAAAGGCTAAGTGTGTTTCCTTCCATGGAATGCCATGAGCCGCTTCTTAGAGTAAGGTGGACTTCCACTTAATGATGTAAAAACATGTTTAAGATAAGGAAGAAAAAAAACTTTAAACCATATGGATAGCGTAATTCAACTGTTGAAATAATTTTACATTATAAAAATGTAAAAACTATCTAGGGAAGTAAGTATTTGGTGCAGTGATGAGAAACTGTTTGGGTTTGGATTTGGGTTTTGGTTCCGGGATTTTCTGTTCATTCCAGGTTTCTGAGAAGTTGGCTCATGCGGTTGGATCCCTGCCATACTTGTAGGAGACTCAGATTAAATTCTGGTGTCCTGGCTTCAATGTGGCCCATCTCTGGCTAGTATGGACATTTGAGGAATGAAGTAGTTGATAAAAAGATCTCTGTAGAGTCAATGTATCTTTCAAATCAAATCAATAAAAATTTGAGGGCATATATGCATATTAGAATAGAATGTTTATTCATGTGTGTATGTTTGTGTCTGTGCTAACACCTCTTCCACGTGTAACTTCTAAATGCAGTCCAGTGTATGAGTTTGTGTATCAGGAGTTTGTGTTTGCCCTAGGAGCTGAGATGACTGCATTGCACGTCAGAGTAACGGGCATCAGTGCCCTGAGTTAGTTTCTGATTTCTGCTTCATGCCAGTGTAGATCCTGGGGGGCAGTGTTGATGACTCAAGTGGTTGGGTTCCCGCCACCCATGTGAGACCTGGGTTGTCTTCAGGGGTCCCAGCTGTACCATTAACCCAGCTCTGGCCGTTGTGGGTATGTAGGGAGTGAATCAGTCGATGAGAACTCTGTTTCTGCCTTTCTGCTTCTCAAATAGACAGTATTTGAAAAAAAAAAAAAGGTTTGTGAGAGTCTAGATAGGAATAACAGAGTATTTGAATCTATTTGACTCTTGAGTTTCTTCAAACAAGAATTGGCAGTTCAGATACTAAGGGATTCATCAGAAATTTCTCTGCTGCTATCCACTTCACAAGTATGGGTAATATGGATTGTGAACAGTAAGAGTTTGAAGGAAGACAAGCCACATATGCTACAGCTGTATGTCTGAGTGTGAGGCTTCACGCCTCTGGTGTACGGACTCGTGGCTGTGAAGTTGTGTGGTCGATTTGGATACATTCCACTTTATATGTGCACAGTCTCTGGGTTGTTTGTGGACTTCAAAAATCATGTTCACAAACTGTTGCCATAGTTTAAGAAGACTGGCCAAATTAAAAAATGAAGTGAAGACCTCCTGGTAGCTTAACTTCATGGAAGGGGATGTTGTTGTCTTGCTTGAAGGTTACTGTTGAGTGGGTTCCTCTAGGCCATAGTTAGTTCCTCTAAAGTTATGAGAGGCAACAAGGGCTTGGATACTGGTTGGTGGTTTTCTGCAACCTCAGGTATTTCTCAATTCATTCTGTGAAGGCTGCTTCTAGTTGTTCCTTGTGGCCTGGCTGGAGACCGAGATTAGATGTTCTATTCCTAGGATCGCAATGTTGTGCTGTGAAGGAAGTGTTGGCCACTTGGAGGTAAAAACTGGCTTCAAAAACTCTCCACCCGTGTAGTCACAGGAAGTTGTTTGGGTTCACTTTGTTTCTTCAGCTAAAAAGGAAATGAGTGGGTTGGCCTGGAGTGTTTGTTCTCAATATTTCTGTAGTTATAAGACTTTTATTCCCAAAACATGCTCTGGCACTCACTGTGAGAGAACATCAAGATGGGCAAATTTTCTAGTTTGAAAATTTAAATAATCTTTAGCTTATGTCTTTGTAGAATTAAAAATACAAGAGAAAGTGCATCTTAGTTGCCAGCTTTAGTTGGCATGTGGTGAAGTCTTTCAGAACGTTTCCTTGGGCAAAGGACCTTGGACGAGTGTAGTAACAATGCTGTTTGTGTGTTTTCAGCATGGTGTCTAGGGTTTTCTGTGGCGATATCAACAGAGTACCAACAAGGCACATGGGGTCAGAGTAAGACACTGGAAAGCCATCAGTGCCATCGGACAATGGCAGAGGTAGAACAAGAAGCGATGAGGTGATGAGGCGGAAGGTGTCACTCCCTTGGCTGATACCCATTGGCCCGATATCTCAAGTCCTTTTGGTTCTGATTTGGCTGTTATTATGTTCCTGGCATTCACTGTCTGGTGTGTGCTTTGTGAAGCTGTGGCTTAGATGTGCATGATTGTCATCCATTGCTAAGGATGCTCAAAGGGCCATAGTTGGGGGAGGTGGACTCAGTCACTAGTGGCCTAATGAAGCCCACAGAAGGGATGGATAAATGGGCTATACTAGTCTGTGTCCACCTCCACAAACGTTGCTAGAGTGCTTACTTGGATGAAGGCAAAGACGTTGCCAGAGTGCTTACATGGATGAAGGCAAGGTGCCCACTTGGACATCTGAATGCTCTCTGACTTAGGAATTGTCTTACGATTTTTCTACTTTATGGTTATACAAGAGGAAGTTTTCTGATGCAGTAGAAGCTGTCCTTTAGATGTCCAGTTTTGATCTTCCCCAGCTAGCAATGTGCAGTGTGGTGTATTCTGGTGCTGGGCAGTGATAGCACACAAAGCTCCCAGGCAATGACTATGCAGTTAAACTGTGTTCATTAGTAAGCTGAGTATATTAAGCTCACAGTGGAGTTTATGAAGTATAATGCCATTGTAAGTTGAAGAGAAGCTAGAATTGACTATAAAATTCTGTCGCTCGTTTTTTGCTGAAGTTCTGACCTAGGAGCTTGATAACAACAGCTATTTGCTTTGGGGTTTTGAGGAGGAATTGGTAGTTGCTATCTGTCTTTTTATTCATTGCCAAACTAAAGCAAACTAGATAAAAATTTAAACCAGACCACATTCCTCATCACCTTTGCCTCCATCTTGCAGAACCTGCACCAGCCTGGACTGAGAAGATAAAATGTATTGTAAAGGATTGTTAAAATGACCACATGTATGTATCAGCCTGCTCTGGTCTCTGCAACAAAATATCAAAGATTGGATGGCTGAACCAATCGTAAGATCATGGTTTTGGCCCGGTTGGTTTCCTCTGAGGCCTCCCTCTCTGGACCATTGAGGAGAAGCTTTGTGCTGCGTCCACATGGGGTCTTTTCCTTCGGCTTGGTTGCCCTCATGTTTCTGTGTGTTCAAGTCTCCTCTTCTAAGGAAACTAGTCAGATTGGGGTTAGGGCTGCTCTCACAGACTTCTAACTGAACACCTCGTGAAGGTCCCATCACTAGCATAGTTAACATTCTCAGGTGTTGGGTGTTAGCATTCCGATCAATAAATTGTAAGGGATGCAGAGGGTCAGTGGACAGCAGCTCAGCCCATAACAACAGATTTAAGTGAATGGATGCCCAGAGAAGTAAACCTGCTTTTCTTTTTATTTTAGACTTTGATGATAGCATGTTTGTTAAGACCTCCACTCCTGAAGAATGGATTGCACAAGGAGAGTACTATGCCAAACACCAGTGCTGGAAGGTAAGGGGCTGGGACAGGAATGTGGGGCCGAAGGCTCATCGAGACCAATTGTCAGGTCTAATAGACAGGGTTTCCTGCATGCTTCCAAGAAGTGTGAGGGTGAATATGGTGCTTGGGCCACTTCTGGAATCTGAGGTCACTCGGAATGAGTAGAGTTCCCTGTCCTGCTCACTCCTTAGTCAAAGTGGGCATGACCACCCTTCACTTTGGCCAGGTCCAGCATTGCTGATGGACCAATGCAGGGTCATGACCTTTCTGCACTGTTGGATCTTTCTATGAAGAGTCTTTGGCCATTGCTGTCATCACACTGCATTTGAAGACTGTGGCATTGTTCTCTGACTTGTTTTTCAAATTGGTCAGCTGCATACTTCGCTCAGTCTCTGCCTGGTGGTCATGAGTTAAGCTCTGTCACCAGTCAGCACTGAGCAGTTTCCAGCTACAGTCATCTTAACCAGCCCGAGCAGTTTCTTTACATGAAATGTTAACTCTAAGATAAACATTTTGAAGTATGGAAACCAGACTAAAGAGTCTCATCGACTTCCCTCAGACAGTGTTCCTTCATCGCCAGGTTTCGGATGGGCTGCCACAGCCAGTGTCTCCCTTGAGGTCATGGTAGTGCTTTCTCCACTGGCAAGTTACAAAAGCCCTAGTAAAAGAGAAGCTTTTAGAAAACCAACGGGAAAAGTTCAGGTCTCAGGGTTGGTTCTATAGCTCAACAAAGTCATCTTGGGCACCTTCTCAACCCGTTTCTTCTCTGTATCACCTGCAGCTCATCAGAGGTACTGCCCTTTGTGGTACCTTGATGGTTGCTTCAGCAGCTCCCGATGCTCTGTGCCCCTCAGTGGCATCCCCAGCAGGAAAGAAGGGCAACCACTTTGTTACCGACGATATTCATTCCTCCCACCCCCGTTTTTACCATGAAGTCCCTGATGGACTTCCTGTTACATCTCATCTTATTGATCAGTACTAGGTCATATGTCCCTTCCTAGTTGCAAAGGTTTCTGGGGCTTTAGCCCTTTAAGAGAAGTAGGTTCTGCTATCAGGTAAGAAAAAGCAGAGGGAATTCTGTGATCAGTTTGGCGACAGCATCTGCCACCACAGGCATGGCCTCACAGACATGCGCATTTCCCAAGGCTCTGACCACCCCAGGTATGTCAGATGCCCCCTGCCTGCACTGCTTGTGGCGCTTCCTGGGAGAGCCGTGGGAGCCGGTTTTGTGGAGATCACTTTATGCCTCTGTGTTCATGTTGGGAAGGTCCAGGTTTTCATTCTGACAGGGAAAGTTTATCTTTTATTGTGATCCCTGAACAAATGGACACAGCAAATGAACACAGTGTTTTTTTTCTGGAGCACTGGGTCCCGTTGAAGCGACCAGAAAGTGGGTAGGGCATTGGGACCGAAAGTCAGAAGGAATGTCTGATGTTTGTATATTGCACCAGGGAATAAGGTTTAAGTCTCCAGCAAATACTTCATATCTGGGGTCTAGAATGTACCTGATGCTGCATGATAAACTACCTTAAACTTAGTGTCTTAAAACAAGACATTTCATTTGCTCCCAGTTGCGTGGCCTAGCAGTGTTGGATTTAGCTTACATCGTTCTTCTGGCCTCAGCTAGACAGCTTGTTTCTGCATTCAGCTACTAGTCCGAGACAGGTCTGTTTCTAGGGGTGACTGGCTCTTGGCTCAGGTAACAAACAGGGATGACTAAGGTCCCTGGATTGCATAGTCTTCATCTTCTTCCTGCTCAGACCTAAGCAGGATCTAGGGAAGCACTGGGAGTCTCTTGAGGATGAGCCTTAGAACTGGCCAGCATGGCTTCTGATGGCACAGAATTAGAATGGAGAGAAACTGGGCAGCAGGTGTGTGAGGAGAACCTGCAAAGTTGCACCAAAGTTTAAGGGAGGTGAACAGATGCGATAGCAGTGTAGAGGATGTGGTCACCCTAGCAGTCTGTGAGACGGAGTGAGATGTAGACTTCATGCTATTGTAGGTTTGGATATGTCTAACCATTCTTTTCCAGATAGGTAGATTTTAGTTAGAAAAGTTGACTGAGCCCCAGAGCTTTATTCACTGCTTGTTCTTACTCCAGCTGACCATCGTTGTAACATCAGACTTTTTTTTGGCCGGGTGTGGGTGGGCAGTAAATAGGGAGGGAGAGGAGGGAGAATATGGGCAACAGGTATGGGTATGGAATTGCAAACTCTAAAATCTTACCCACTGTTCTCTTCATTACACTATTGTTACCCATATGTGTTGCCCATGGGTTTCCAGTTACTTATCCCTTTTAAATATACCTTTTGAATGTTTAAATCTAAAATCTTTTTAGGGGAGCCGGCACAGCTGGGAATGTTATAAAAAGCCTCCTCGCCTGACTTTATTTTGACCCCGCTAAAGGACTTCAGGACTCAGGTGGTTTATTAAGTTTTCGGCTGCATGTCAATGAATGTTTCAGAACCACCATTCAAGATTTGTTCATCCAACAGATTCCTCTTGAGCTGTGGGCCAAGCATTATGTTTCAGTTCTAAGAATGTGAGGAGAAGCAGAACAAGCAAATAGATCCCAGTTCCAGCTGTTGCAGTTGTCACAGTTGAGAAACCACCCTTTCTGGACTGGAGGACCAGAGAAACCTTCCTAGAGGAAGGGAGCCCTGGGCTGAGACCTGCAGAATGACTCAACTTAGCCAGGCAGAGAAAGGGTAGAAAGTATTTGTGTTAGAAGAGTGTGTGCAAAGGCCCTGTGTTGGGAAGGAGCAAGGCATAGATCTGAGGTGTGGGTTATGGAAATAAAGAGCATGAGTGGGGAGAGGTGCCACCCTGCCCACTTTATCAGCAGGTGCCCCACAGTCCGTGCCTTGCCCACTCTGAGCCCTGATGTCTGCCTGCTAGACAGAATGGGAACCTTCTGTTCTTGTAGCCTCTGTTGGAGACACAGTGTCAGTATTGCTAGAGTAAAAGCAGCTTTTTGCTGGCAAGGAACAGGTGCAGACTCACTCCCCTGGGTCACAGTCAGAGGGTGTGTAGTGGATCTGCATGCACCCAGGGAAGTGGAAGTACTCCACCATCTTCTGTAGCTCCACTGCCTACTCTTATGCCAAGTATTGCAGCTGTTCAACCAGCACCACACAGAAAATCAGCAGTACCAACTGTACTGAAGTACAGAAAAGCCCCTGGGTGATTTTGGCCAATTACTCAATGGCTTTGGCATGAGGTTGCTATTGTATACAGCGAGAAAGATGACACTTCTTACACATGGCTATCCGCAGATTAAAATAGACTGTTGCTTTGGTGGCCTGCACACTTATATATCATTGTATCTTTTCTGTGCTTCCTGGGTACTTCCAAAAGGAACCTTTGTGTGTGAAGCGTTGGCCGGTAACACAGTTAGTCTTGATCGTCTGTGGCTGCCTTAGCATTTCTGCATCAATACTCCTCCGTCTGAGTTGAGGTTAGGGCAGGATTCAGTGCCTGGTCAGGGCAAGCATAAAATGCATGTTAACTCCTGTTCCGTGTGTCACCTTCAGTACCTTAGTGGCAATCCAAACCTTTTGCCTGTTCCAGGTTGCAGCCAAGTGTTACCAAAAAGGAGGTGCATTTGAGAAGGAGAAGTTGGCTCTGGCCCACAACGCTGCTGTGAACATGAAAAACAAGAAAGTTAGCCCCAGGTAGGATTCTCCAGATAATGTTAGGTTTGCTCTGATGAGAGCAGCATGTCACCTCTTTTGGTGGTGGATCCACATCCCATGGGAATGCTGTTTTATTTCTCCAGGGAAAAGCAGTTGGAATATTTGAAACTGGCTAAAACCTATTTGGAATGCAAGGAGCCAAAGCTGTCTCTGAAGTGCCTGAGCTGTGCCAAGGAGTTCCAGCTCTCTGCCCAGCTGTGTGAGAAGCTGGGAAAGGTATGCCCCCTCCCTGGCTCACAGCTGCCCCTGGGAGAATTGGGCTTCATTTGAGCACGTGGAGAGTGGGCCACTTAACCTCTGTGTGGGGCAAGAAAAAGACCACAGTCTTCGGAGGGATGGCCTGGCCCTGGTGACTTATTGGGCAGTCCCTTTTCTACCAACGCAGGCTTTCAGAAATCCTTGGTGAGTGTGTGTGTGTAGTCCCTTCTCTACTGGTGCAGGCTTTTAAAAATTCCTGGTGAGAGAGAGAGAGTTAATTTTCAAAGCCTGCTATTAACCACAGGTCAAATGTTCAAACCCCAGATGGGTTTTAGAGTATCCTACTTCCCAGCTGGACGTCTCTGGGTTTGTAGGCTCTCCAGACTTGTCATGAGGTTTTCCTGTGTTCCCAGCAATTACTCCTTAGATATGCACGGGCCAGCTCAGCAGTCACATGTGACCATTTAACTGAGAGTCTAAATTAATTAAGGTATCATGAAGTTACAATGCATGCTGTCAGTTCACCAGCCACGCTGCAGGTGCCTGTTGCTAAGGGAACATTCGCAGCCTCACAGAATGCTCTCTGGAGAGAGGTACTAGCTCAGAGCTCAGCCACTCGGAGTGGTCAGCAGGCTGGCGGTGGTGTCAGACTCCATTTGTTTGCAGCAAGCTTTAGCACAGCAAGGTGAAAGGAAGCAGATGGTAATTTGTAGAGCCATTTGGCATTGCCGTGCCATCCAGGGGGGTGATGGTTCCGCTAGTGACTCACTTCCAACGTGACATTTTTGATGGACTGGACATTTCATGCAGCCTGGTCCTTCTCTGCAGATGATTAAAGAAGCTGGAGGCCATGTGTTCCCTGCAGGGTGACATCCTGACCGTGGCGGGAAGGCGGGGTCTCTGTGAGTGAAGCACGCGACGTGCTAACTCTTGAGCTTTCCTGCCCACATGCTGGGGGTTGGGGCTGGAGGTTAACTGTGGCCCCAAGCCAGTGTCCAACAAGACAGTGAGGCTCTCTTGATGCACTTTGTCCTGCTTCGTGATTATGATGGAATGGGACAGGTTATGGGATGAGAACGATGGTGGGGGCATCCAGAAGCAGACATTTCAGTCTGGCTGGAAGTTTCAGTCCTAGATTCCAGGAACTGGAAGCCAGCATCTGCCCGACACTCTTCAGCATTGCCTCTTTGGAGACAGTCACTCCAGGACCTAGGCCTCAGCTTGTCACTTTCCCGTGTTTGCCTATTGAGTTTCTTCCTTGACTCAACTGGAGGCTTTGTCCCCACTACGCCTGTCTCCTTATCCCCCACCCTCTTACCAAACTTTGCCTGTGAAAGTGAGCAAGGCTGGGGGGAGAGGCCAGGAAGCCCTTGACTGCACCCGGTGCTTCCTCCTGCAGCACTTCAAGCACCTTCACAACATCCCGCCCGCAGACCTTGACTTTCTGTCTCTGCATCCACTCTCTCGGGGTCACTGTCTTCTCTCACCAGCCCACTGTAGCAGCTCTGGGATCCAGGAAAGGAGGAGTCCTGAGCTCAGAACCCTGCCTGGAAGAGCGTTCAAACCTCACCCAGTCTCAGACATCTTGTGTTCTCACCCCGATCAACTGGCAAGATCCAAAAATGACCACTTGGTGGCAGCTTTTGCTTGGCCCCTGAGGCCAGATCACCTCCCTTTTTCCAGCCCCTCAAAACGTGTGCCGCTGCTGGGAAGAAGTGTTTGTGGGGATGTGTGGGAATGTAAGGTTTCCTTTCAGGATTCCGGTGTTCTGTCTGCTTCCTGTCTCCAGAGAGAAGTATCGGTTTCTCTAGAATCCTTTCCAGGCCCTTGCCCGGGATGCTAGGTGGAGCCTCCCCATGGAGCGAAGTGGGCCAGAGTTGGGGGTGGGGGGCTGCTACTTGGCCCTGACTGTCTTCCCTGCCTTCCACTGGCCACAGCCGGTACCTCATTCATTCACACATTTTTTTTTCTCTCTCTCTCAGAGTAGTAAGTACTGGGGAGGAGAGAGAAATGGGTAGAATTGTTAGATATACAGGGCATGAGGTTATATGATATGGCTAAGATGAGTCTAGGCACTTCCTAATTGTGAGGTGTCTGTAGAACTTGCACATGAAACTGCAAACTTTACTTTAGCACTTCCTGAAGCTTTTCTCTTTCAATATTACCTCATAAGTTTTATTTTTGGAGGGTTTGTCAAATACCTGTTGCTGTGTCTTGCTTGTCTTCCCCCTGCCCCCCCCCCGGGCCCCAGGAGCAGCAAACAACATAATGTAATTAAATACTCAACAAATTGGCAGATTCCGTATTGTGTGCCAGGCACTGGGAGTGCTGGCGAGAAGCCTAGACCTTGACCTCTGCAGAGCTTCTTTTTCCAGTTCTGGGGAGACAGAAGGATCATAGAGTTTACACGGTGTCAGTGGTGAAGAGAGCTGAGAACAAGACGTGGCACGAGAGAAGGAAAAGAGGTATAGACAGTAGTTTGGGTCAGAGAGCTGACTTTTGGGCAGATGATCACAGCTGCTGCATGGCATCGGAAGCCAAGCCCCTCACAAGCAGAGGCCATCCCAGCATTGTGGTGAGTCTGAGGGGCAGCAAGGAACACAGTGTTGCATGGCAAACCCACCACTGGGGGATACAGACCCTCTTGCTCTTTGCAACCGTTCTTTTCTCATTGGCAGCCATTCCCAATGTGTGTGTTACTGAAAAACACAGTTTCTCTCTTCTCTCATTGTATACGTGTGTGCACATATATACATGGGTACATTGTGCCCAAGTGAGCCAGTACAGGAGAGTGCCATGCACTGATGAAGATTTGGAAGTTCTTGATTGCCGGCAGTGAGGAGGACACTGATGCCCAAAGCTCGCTTGACCCTAAACCACAGAAGAGCCTCACCTGAAATGGGGTCAGCTCAGCATGGAGCCCCTCATGTCAAGCCTGCTATTTCGTATATGTATGTAGAGATTTATCTATTTTCATTTGAGGGCAGGGTAGAACAGAGAGAGAGAGAGAGATCTCCCATGTGTTGATTCACTACTGAAATGACCACAACTATTGGGGCTGGGCTGCTTCTAAACCAGGATCCAGGAGCTTCTTCTGGGTCTCCCACACGGGTGGAGGGGACCCATCACTTGGGTCATCCTTCTCTGCTTCTTCATGCCATCACAGGGAGCTGGATCAGAAGTGGAGCAACTAGGACTTGAACTTGCACACATATGGGATGCCTGCAAAAGTTTAACCTATGATGTAATGGTGCCAACCTTACAATAAAATGAAGACTAGGGCCCAGCGCGGTGGCGCAGTGGTTAAGGTCCTCGCCTTGCACGCCCGGGATCCCATATGGGTGCCAGTTCTATCCCGGCAGCCCCGCTTCCCTTCCAGCTCCCTGCCGGTGGCCTGGGAAAGCAGTCGAGGACGGCCCAAAGCTTTAGGACCCTGCACCCGCGTGGGAGACCCGGAAGAGGCTCCTGGCTTCGGATCGGCATAGTATCGGCTTTTGTGCTCACTTGGGGAGTGAATCATCGGACGGAAGATCTTCCTCTCTGTTTCTCCTCTCTGTATATCTGCCTTTCCAATAAAAAACTAATAAAAATGAATCTTTAAAATGAAGACTAACATGTTTTTTTGAAGATTTATTTATCTTCATTTGAAAAGCAGAGGCAGAGAGGAAGTCATCTATCCACTGGTTCACACCCCAAATGGCCACAATGGCCAGAGCTGAGCTGACCCAAAGCTGGGAGCCATGAGCGTCTTCTTGGCCTCCCACGTGGGTGCAGTGGCCCAAGGCCTTGGGAACTCCTCTGCTGATTTCCCAGGTTGTAAGAAGTGGGCTGAATGAGAAGTGAAGTAGCCAAAACATGGACTGGTGCCCATATGGGTTGCCTGCACTTACAGGTGGAGGATTAGCCTGGAACATCATGGTGCCACCCCTATAAGTATTTATTTTCAGCTTACCTGAATGGCGTCTTGTCCGTTGTTTACCTTTTCCCACTCCGTGTGAATAGTGTGACAATTTGACCCTGATTCTGAGCACTGGTCGTGTTCTGGAGTGGCATTTTCACTGCACTGGTTTGTCTACTTCCCAGCTGGACGTCTGGGTTGTCGGCAGCTCCCGGCTGCCACACATCCTCACCCCAGGGAGCAGTCTGTCTGCCTGTGGGCCAGGGCCTGCAGTGGGCTTGTGGCCCCTAGAAGATGCATGTACTTTCCCTCACTAACAACAGTCACTTTGCTTTCTGGAGTGGATGTGCCCCTTTGCGCATGAGGGTTTCATTTTTTCCATATTCTTATCTTTGTTCAGTGGGCTCTGATTCTCCAGTTTTGCGACCTGGTGGAAGTACCTCACTCCAGCTTTGGTGTACATTTCTCTGTTAGTAGAACTGAACATTTCCCTCTGTTTGTTACTCATTCAAGTTTCCCTCTAGTCTGCTTTCCCTAAGCTTCCTGCTGTGTTTTTAGGAAAGCATTTTTCTTGTTGCAGGTAACTCTGAAGTTCTAAGCCTATCCAGTCTTGTAGCCACTAGTCATGCGTGACTGTTTAAACTTGAAGTGATTGAATTACATAGAATTAAAAACTTTAGTTCTTTGATTTCACTGCCCACATTTCAAAGGCTCCAGATTCAGATGTGTCTAACGGTGAGAAACTGGATAACACAGATATACAACATTTCTGTCTTCAAGGACAGTCTGTTGGATGGTACTGTTAACTTTTCTATTAGCCATTTCACATATTCTTTATCAAACAGTTTTGATATAATAAAATCCATCAATTTTTCACCTTTTTAAAAACTCAGGGTCATAAAGACAGTGTGTTATGTTTTTCCTTAGAAGTTTCCTGTTTATGCTGTTTAACCCATCACGAGCTTGCTTTTAGACATAGTATAAGGTTGTAGTTTACATTGTTCCCTATTAAATAACCAGTTTACCTAATTGCTATTTCTGTTTTAGCGTTTTTAAACTCGATTCTAGCAAACACACATGTGGTCTGTATATTCTTAAGATCATAAAGTCATATGAATACTCTGAAAAAGTGAACTTGCTCTGTCCCAGATAAGAGATGCTGCCTATTTCTACAAACGAAGCCAGTGCTACAAGGATGCTTTCAGATGCTTCGAGCAGATTCAGGAATTTGATCTGGCTCTCAAAATGTACTGCCAAGAGGAGCTTTTTGAAGAAGCGGCTGTCGCAGTGGAAAAGTAGGTGGTTTTCTCCTGCCTGTCTCCCTTCCCTGGGGGCAGCTTGCTTTGGGTGAGACTGTCCTTTCCTTGGGGAGTGGGGTGATGATGTCACTCTTGCCCTGGGCGTGGCCTTGCTGCTGGCTCAGGAGCTCCTGACAGTCAGACTGTCTTCTGCTCTCTCGTGAGCTTTGATAGTCAGATGAAAGGTGTGTGTATTCAACAAAGTAGGCGGACTTGGTAGACTCAAGAGGAGCCTTTCAGAGCCCTGCACGGCCAAAGAGGAGACTCACATGTTGGATGATAAGGGGGGAGATGACCAGTTGTGTATTTCTGCAGCCCCACTCCGTCTTCTCATTGATCACTTACCGCAGTGGACGTAGTTGTGCGCCCAGAGTCATGTTGGTGCTTTAACGAAAAATTGAAGAGATTTCTTAAGGATAATTTTGACTGTGCATAAATTTTGCTTTACAGCCTCACTTTCTTTTCTGATTAACCTTTAAAAAAATATTTATTTATTTGGAAGAGTTAAATAGAGAAAGGGAGGGAGAGAGAGCGAGCAAGAGCCCTTCCATTTGCTAGTTCATTCCCTAGATGGCCACGGCGGCTGTGCGTAGATAAGGCTGACGCTGAGAGCCAGGAGCTTTTTCTGGATCTTCCATGAGGGGAGACAGGAGCCCAAGTGTGTGGACTGTCTTGCACTGCTTTTTCCAGGCCATGAGCAGGGATCTGGATTGGAAGAGCAGCTGGGACATGGACTGGCACCCCTATGGGATGCTGGCATTGCAGCCCAGCAGCTCTTAACTGCTGTGCTCTAGTGTGGGCTCCATAGATGAGCTTTCAAGCTCAACTCCCATCTGCTTGAGTTGCACCTTCACAATGTTTGGGAATTAAGCACACAAAGTCTGGTTCCTATCCAAAATATTTTGCTATTGATTATTATCCCAGTGACTGTCATTTTTAAAAATTCTTGAATGTTTAACAAAGTTTAGATCTTATTTTTGTAATTTCAACATATTGGTATTTTAATCCGGTTGTTATGTGCTATATTTTGGAGGAACCTTTTCGTATTGGGTTGGGTGATAAGTTGACAGTTTGTATTCTCTCTGTAGGTATGAAGAAATGCTGAAGACCAAGACCTTCCCCATTCCCAAGCTCTCCTACTCTGCCAGTCAGTTTTACTTGGCAGCTGCGGCCAAGCATCTGAGTGCCAACAGGACTGAGGAGATGCTGGCCGTCCTGTCGAAGCTGGATGTGGAAGACCAGCTGGTATTCCTGAAATCTCGGAAGTGCCTGGCAGAAGCCGCAGACCTGCTCGACAGGGAAGGGCGCAGGGAAGAGGCCGCCCTGCTGATGAAACAGCATGGTCATCTCCTGGAGGCTGCTAGACTCACAGCTGACAAGGACTTCCAGGCTTCCTGTCTGCTGGCAGTGGCTCGCCTGAACGTGGCCAGGGAGGCTGACCTGGAACATACCAAGGTCATCCTAAGGGAAGCACTGGATCTCTGCTATCAAACCAGCCAGTTGTCTGGCATGGCAGAGGCCCAGTTCCTGCAGGGGGTCATCCTGAAAGACTTCCAGAAGCTCAAGGATGCCTTCTTCAAGTTCGACATGCTCAACCACTCGGCCGGAGTGGTAGAAGCACTCTATGAAGCAGTCAGTCAGTGTGAGGCTGAGTCCGAGAAGGTTCTGGCCCTGGCTCCAGGGGGCTTGGAAGTCCTCCTCAGTCTGGTCAGGGCCCTGGCGAGAGTGACCACCAATGCTGAGAAGGAGATGGTCAAGTCTTGCTTTGACTTTTTTGGGATTTCTCAGGTGGATGCCAAGTATTGCCAGATAGCTCAGAATGATCGTGGGCCCATATCAAGACTCATTTTTGACCTGGGCTTGAACTTGCGAGAGAGGAAAACAAAAGACTATTTCTTGATAATGACGGAACAGGTGAAACTGGCCCTTAACAAACACCTTCTGAACAGGCTGTGTCAGATCACACGGAGCCTACTTGGGAAGACCTACCCTGGGGTGTGCAGCAGGTTTATCGTAGGCTTAAAATGTAAGGAGAAAAGCTGCGAGGATTTCCACAGGCCTCTGCGGCGTTGCGAGGCCAAGTGTTTGGTGCAGTCAAAAATGCACCTGGTGTCGATCAACGGATTGCTTCTGGAAGCCAAAAGAGTATTCCCTGAAGTCTTAGCCGAAGAACTGAAAGAGATCGATTGTATTCTGTCTACAGATAGGTATGGCCTTTGCAAGTCCTTCCTAAGTGTCCTCTTCCCGAAGCATTTCCATCAGAGAGTGTTGTCGGAAAACCCCATGGCGTGCAAAGAAATCCTCAAACCAGATTACAAATGCTTCCGCTCCTACAGGTGTGCTCTGAAAGAGTACATCCATTTCTTGTTCCAGAACGAGAGGGCGCGCAGCCGCCGGGAATCCACGGACCTGTGGCTCAGCGCCATGCAGGCTTTCCTTCTGTCCTCCCACTACCCAGAGGAGTTTGAAAAGCTGCTCCACCAGGAGGAGGACAACTACCACAGGGAACTCAGAGCTCTGGAGTCTGAAGGAGAGGACCAGGAGGGCCGGGGGAGAGGCAGCAGGATGAAGAGAATAGAAGGGAAGTTTGGCATGCTGCTTCCCAATAAAGACAATGACAGTGTAGAGAAGACCCACTTGTGCTTCATCCGCCTGCTGGAAAACTGTATCGACCAATTCTATGTGCACAGGAACCCGGAAGACTACAAGAGGCTCTTCTTCCGTTTCATGAACGTTCTCATCAAGAGGTGCAAGGAGCCACTCATCCCCAGCATTGGAAACACAGTGGCCTTATTGGAGTGCCAGTTTGTCCACTGTGCCGTGGTGCTGGCCCGCCTCTGGAAGAACGGCATCCTGTGCCTCCCCAAAAGCTACATCGCGCTCCTACACTACTGGGAGTTCCTGTTCACCAAGAAGGACAAGGAGCATGGGGATGCTTTCTCCATCATTCAGGACTACAAACCCAAGGATGTGACAAGAGCCATTCAGGACTTCCGGTTCCACCTCTCCTACCTCGTGAAGGTGCTGTGTGGCTACGAGAACGTGCACTTCAATGTCCTGCTCGACGCCTTCAGTGAAATCGCCTACGTGGTCTCAGGCGAGGCTGAGCGGACGCTGGTGCTGTGCTTGGTGCTGTTGGTGAATGCCGAGGAAGTCCTGCAGCCGTACTGCAAGCCCCTTCTCTACCGCCACTTCCAGGAGATCCAGAGGAGGCTGCAGCTGATGCGCGTGGAGTGTCCAGGTCAGGTTCCCAAGAGACTCGTGAAGGTGGTGAAGCGGGTGTTGGCAGCAGTCAGTATGAAGTCGGTGGTGGAAGCGCTGCAGGATCTGCTATATGAGCGCGACGAGGAGTACCTGATGGACTGCCAGTGGCGGTGGGACAGCGTGCAGACCCAAGGGCCCGTCGTCCGTGGGCTTTACCACGAAGAAGTCAAACTGAGCCGCTTGCTCAACATGGACCCCGTGAACTCCTTTGCAGAATCTGAGTGTGAGTTAGGTCAGGATGAGACTGACGAGCTGGCACTGGAAGACCGGGACCACTTCCTGGCTGCCATCCTTCTGCAGAAGCAGAGGAAGGCCTCCATCCACCGCAAGCTAAGGAGAGTGTGCCTCGTGGTGTCGCTCTGCGTCAGCTGGAGGAGAAGGGTGAGCACCCAGGCGGAGTGCACCCCAGACGAGACCAGGGAGGCAGGAACTGGGAATTTCAAAAAGGCTGATGTGGACAGCACCCAGTGTGACCTGTGTGGAGTCAAGTTCAGCCGCTGCCCGGAGAGCTACCTGAGCTCCAGCAAAGCGTTCGTGGGAACAGCTTCAGAAGTCATGGTCCTCTCCGGGGCTGAGCTGGCAGGGAAGGAGTGCCTGGAGAGGAACAGCGAGTCTTACGAGCAGCACATCCACCTAGAAGGCCACAAGAAACAGCAAGCGGCCTACCAGAAGTACAAGGAGTTCTTCCAGGAGAAGGTGGACCCAGCCATTGCGGAAGGGAAGCTGGTGATGCGGGACATCGAGCAGAGCATTTGGATCCGCAGTCACGTGGGCTCCAAAGAGCACAGCCACATGCTGCAGGGGAAGGTGCAGGAACACATCAAGAGGGTGTTGGATATGGTGGAGGATCTCTACAGGAGGAAGGCTTGGGCTGCAGGTAAGGGAGTGCCAGCCGCAGTAGACTCCAGCTTTGAAACACCCTCGTTAGTGTTAAGGCTCTCACCTCTGACTTGAGCATGGTGAGGTCTTCACAAATAGCGAAGGTGCAAGCGAGCCTGTGTTCCAGCCAGATCCCATTGTTCGGGCTACCCCCCTTCATTGAAAACTTCGCAGTTTGCTTTGGGTGCAGTGGCTTCTCCAGGCACTACGGATGAGAAAATGGTATGCTGATTCTAGAGAGAGGAATTAAGGAGAATGTTTTAAAGTGTTAAGAAAATGTGCCGTCCCTCCTAATTGATTCGCTGAGCGATCCTTTCTCAAGCACCTATTGTGTGCTCATTGCCCTGCTAGGACCTGCGAGTAGGTCCATTCCTTCTAGGAGGGTTCTTAAGCCATACCACTGTGACCTCTGTAAAGTATGAATCCTTACCTGGCCTTCAAATCAGGTTCCCCAAGCTTCCTTGTTAGCCGCTGCTTCGCAGTGTGGAATGGAAGTTAAGTTTAAAATTTATGAAGTTGTACATCTGAGAGCATTCTCGGATGCAGATGCTCTCTCCAGTTCAGGGCTTCCTGGGATTTTGAGTACAAGCTTCCTTGAAAGGTTTGCTGCTCGCCACCTCTGTTGACTCACAGCAATGGCGCCACGCTGGCTTTTAACTGGGACTCTTCACGGGGGCCACAGGCAGTTCTGAGCCTCTTAACTCTGGGGAGAACTGTTCTCAGCCAAAGCACACGGACCAGCATTGGGGTCATGAAGATTTTGGTGCTCCGTTTCTGCTGCAGCCTCTTCCGCTCACACCTGCTCTTCTCTGATTTCTATAGCGGAAGAGGGGATGACTCGGCTGCTCAACATCTTGATCCTGTCAGTCAAGGATGCAAAGGAGTGGTTCGTGAAAACAGAGGCCCGCCTCAAAGAAGAAGGTAAGGGATTCTTCAGTCCACTCCCAGAGAATGCTTTGGCTCCCAAGTGCATCTGAAGTGGGGCTGTCCAGGGACATCCCGACTGGCTTCTCACCTCTAGTGGGTCAACTCCGAGGAAACAAATCATTACCAAATCGTATCTGAGTTTCTTCAAGTGCCTGTGAAGGCCCAATCTGGGTTCATGGTAGCTGCTGAAAATGTCTTCTACAGAGATGGCTGTTATTGATGACTTTTAGCCTCTGCACCCACTCAATACAGTGACCCATGAAGACACTCAAAACCACCCCTTGACAAATACAGTTAAGTGGGTTTGCTATTCATTTAAGTCAGTGGATATCTGTTGAGCATCTGGTAGGTTCTGGGCTGGAGGACACATTCGTAAGCAAACACAGTCATTGGGGGAACAAGCCTGCATCTTCCTACAGAGGCAGAAAGCCTTGCCCAGAGTCAGCCAGCTTTTCTTTCCCCTATGATCAGAAGCGCGCCCCCCCCCCCATTCTCCACCATCCTGAGTCTTCCTTCTGGCTGCTGCCCCCTGCTGGCCACACCACTCTTGGAATGTTTCAACAGCTCCAAATGCTTGGAAGTACTGATCTGGCAGATCCCAGAGCCAGGGGGGGGAGACTTGCAGGTTAATTTGGTACACATGTGTTTGTCCATAAAAAAATCTTCAGCGTAGAACCTCCTCTGGGGACCGTGATTTTGGGATTGTTTCAAGGTGCACCAATCCAGACCTCTCCTGACTGCTTTCGTTTCATAGACTTGCACTCATTTAGGGAAGCAAAAGCTGTGCCAGGAAGGAATGTTCGTCCTTTGTCTGGCTCTCTGTGAGAGCTGTGTTTCTTTCATTTCATTTCATTTCATTCATTTCTTTCATGCTCTGTACTTTGTCTCTGCTTTTGACTTCCAACAGGTATTGTCCAGGAAGATCATTACGAAAACGAAGTTGAAGACTTTGGTGAGCTGTGTCCCAGAAGACGTCCACGGAAATGTGGAAAGCAGAGAAAATTCTAAAGTTGACACACTTGCTGCCACCTAAACCTTGAGAACATTCCATCCTAACTTAGAACTCTTTGTGCGGGGCGAGGGGCGGGGCAGGAGAGGAAAAGGATATAAGCTCTCATAAAAACAGAGCAGAGGAGTCTAGCCACACCTTTGCTGTTCGCCCCCCCTTGTTTCTCTTAGTGCCTCTGGCCTCTGCAGGGACCTCTGAAGTTCAAGTCCAGCAGTATTCGTTGCCCCCAAGTGCTTGGATCAGAGGAGTCATCAGCTGGGGTCCCCACTTCACCTTGGCCTTGGCTCTTTCCTGTCCTGAGGAAGGTCAGTAGCGGGGGGACGAAGTGTTTCCGACGGATTCCCTCCCCTGCTGCCTCGCTGCTGCAGCGCTGGCTGATGTGAGAGCCTGTGTGCCCCTGGGCCCTGTGCGCCCTGCTTCTGGCCGCCAGAGCCCAGCCTGCCTTCCGTCTAGTCCTCTCCAAGCCCATTTGGAGTGTGATTCTCTCCATCCCATCTGTTAGCACCTTTTCTTTCTCTGGCTCTGCTCTCCCTCCTTGAATTTTTGGTGACCATTCTGAGCTCCCTGTGCCACATCACAGTCAGACTACCTCAGAATGTAGTCGGGAGCTCAACCAGCGTCCCGTGGCCATCCTTTCTCGGGGCATGTTTCTGGGGAGGTTCTCAGCCCGCCTCTCCGAGGCGGTTGGAGCTCTGCTTGGCCATGGTGCAGACATTCCGAAAGGTCTTTGATACTCAGCCTTTCACGAGTCTTCTTGATTCTTCCTGCTAGGTTTGCTACCTTAGCTTAGGTTGACGTTCTAGGTTTCCGTCGGCTGAAGTTGCATTGTGGGATAACGACCCACAGGGCTGCTGGTCGGGAACAGGTGGACAGAGGCGGAAGCCAGTCTTTCAAGCGCCAAACCGCTGGGATTTGGTTGTGAATCACTGGCATGTGGCCGGTGGATCCTTGAGGCGAGGTGTAGGTCTGCGTACAGGAAGCCTTTGTTCTCCCCTCCACCCAGCGCCCCGGCAGCCTGTGTGTAGTACAATGTGGGGAGCCGCCGTGCCTCTCTGATGCTCACTGTCCACTCTTCACGCCCCTCGGCTCCAGCTGGTGTGAAAGGTCAGACCGCTTTAACCTTTTAGTATTTTGTCCTTGCAACAGAATCAACTTTTGCCTCCACGCTGCTGCTATTCCTGCTGCTCAGTGTTGTCCCTGTTCTCCCTGAGTGACCTTGATTCCTTGCAATGTTTATAGGTGTGATTTTTATTAGGTTATGTTTCTAGCTTTTATTCCAGTTGTCTTTTATAAGCTTGACTTGCCAGGAAAAAAAATACCCAATCAAATATTGCTGTATTATCACATTTTTATAAAGTTGAATTGTTTCTCTTGCGTGCTGCTGCTGTTTTCTGTATTTCTAATCTCTGCTCAGAGAGTAAAGAGATGAATCTGAGAAGTGCTTCCCCTTCTGGCCAGCTGTTTGAAGCTGGCTGGGCTTGGAGTTCACTTTGGCCTCTGAAAGTAGGAAATCCAGAAACAGGGCAGGGTCTCCCAGGAGGTTGGGGGGTTTCTAAGGCTGGCCCCACACACATTCGTCTCAGTTTGGGAGTACCCAAGCCAGCAGGCCGGCACTGTGAGCAGGTCTGTCAATGCTGTGAGCCGGGGCTCCCTCCCAAGGAAAGCTGCCCTGTTAGGCAAGCGTCCTGGGATCGAATCCCTCTCCTGCCCTTCCTGAATCATATAACCTGGGATGAGTCAGCTCAATTCACCACTGAGCACTTCAGTGTGGCTCCTGCTATGGGAGTGGGACAGAAATGTGGAGAAACAGCGATGCTAGAGATATGAATTCTATGTGTAATGTCGGCATTTGCCCAACATAGCTGGGCCTCAGCTTCCCCTTCTGGGAAACTGGTGTAAGACCTGTACAGTCTGATGCAGAGCTGTTAACGTGCCTTTGAATACACAGCTCAGGTCTTAGTGCTGTGATGTTAGGGATTGCTGGTGGCAGGCAGCGGGGCAAGCTTCAGAACCTACGCTTCAAGGTGAAAAAAGCTCAGCACTGGACAGATCATCCTGCCACCTCGGCCTGTCCCATAGAACTGGCGGAGACCCCCTCCCCCTCTCTCACTGCAGTAGCCCTCAGAGAAGGGATGTGGAGATTGGGAGAGGAGATGGAATTAGGAGAAGGATCAGCCCAGCCCCCCCTGATGGAGACTTGCCTGGGTGTACAGAGGATGGGAGTGTATATTGGGGAGCCCCAAGGCCCCTCTGTGCTTTAGCAATTCATCAAGAGGGAATCCAGGACTCAGTCTGCATGCAGTGGTTGTCACAGCTCTTGATTTATTGTAGCAAAAGCAAAGCACATGGCATGAGCCAAGGGAAGTAGCAGTACATGGGATGCAGCCTGGGGCATACGAGGGGCAGGCTGTCAGGAGCTTGTTCCTTCATCACAAAGAATGTGGCCCAGCAGCAAAGCTGTCAAAACTGAGAACATGTGAAATGCTACCACTCAGGGGAGCTTATTGGAGAGAACGGCCCATAGTCGTCCACAGGGAATGGTCATGGAGGTGTTTTCTGCCCAGCACGTACCAGAGCAGAGTCTCCGAAGGAGCACAGACATTGAGCAAAGAGCACATTGTGCGTACACTTCAGGCGCTGTGAGACATGCTGGTCCTGCTGGGAATGGAGCGAGCCCTCTCCGTTGTTCCAGACCACAGCCGAGGGCCAACTTCCTGAGCCGGCCTTTCAGATGACAGCAGACAGGCCTGCTGTGGCCACAGTTTGCCTCAAAGGGGAATTTGCCCAAGTAGGGGTTTTGCCATGATTGCCCCCCTCGTTCACCTTACAGGGACCCTTCAAGTGCATGTGCTAACGTTGTACCACGTGTCAAAGAGGGTACACATTCAGGGACAGTGCATCTTCTAAAATCCTAGCTCAAAACACCCATTTTTCCCCCCTGACCTGGCATTGTTGCATAGAGTTAAGCTGTTACCTGCAATGCCGGCATTTCATATGAGCTGCGGGTTGAGTCCTGCCTGCTACACTTCCAATCCGGCCCCGTGGTAAGGTGCATTTAAAAGCAACAAAGGACATTCCAAGTGCTTGGGTCCCTGCACCTGTATGAGAGACTGTCTGAAGCTCCTGGCTCCTGGCTTCAGCCTGGCCCAGCCTCTACCATTGCTGCTGTCTGGGGAGTGAGACCGTGGATGGAAAATGGAAGATCTCTTTCTCTGTACCTCTGCCTTCCGAATCAATCAATCAATCAATCTTTAAAACAAAGAAAATACCACCTCCAACAAAACAGATTTTCCCAGTGGCTTCAACATTAATCACATGTCCTTTTAACCAGTGGTAACCAGTGGGAATGTTCGGCTCCTTTGAGGTCTGAAGAGGGACGAGCCCTCTCCTCCTCTTTCTCCTTTACTCATGTTTGGGCCTGGCCACTCATTCTTTCTTTCTTTCTTTTTTTTTCTTTTTTATTAATTGTATTGCATTATGTGACACAGTGTTATAGGCACTGGGATTCCCCCCACCCCTCCCCAAACCCTCTCCCCAAGGTGGATTTCTCCACCTTGTTGCATTACCACAGTTTGAATTCAGTTGAGGTTCTTTCATTGGAAGTATTTACCAAGCATAAAGTCCAGCATCTTATTATCCTAGTGAGTTCAACAATTTCTTGGTGAGACCATCTCTGGTCTGAAGGTAAAGCCAGCAAAGTGTCATACCAATCAATTAAAAGCCCCAACATAACATCAACAACAATTTACAACATTATGGCATTAATTGACATGGTGTTGATAACCAATATGTTAATAGGAAAATGCAGGTTCTTAACTACATTCTGTGACGACTTCATAGACATTTCAATTTTGGTTTATATACAGCTGGGTTCTATACACCTCAAAATGGCTATAGATTACTATTCAGCTGTCCCGTGTCTATTTTCATTTTAGTATTTAGCTGTTTATAGTGTTGAAGCATGATTTTGCTTAACTTGGTTGTTTTTCAGATGGTGTGAACTGGCTTATAACTCTAGCAAGACATGTGTCATCAGTTTAGGTACAGAACATTATTTATTTATTTATTTATTTTATTTTATTTATATTTTTAGGAGAGGTGTGCAGAGAAATCCCCAATACCCCAGTGAGGCGTAACTAATCTTTGTGTCCCACCTAGTGAGGTATGAGTGAATCCACGATGACCATTTCCTGTCTGATTTTAAGCTTTCCTTGTTGTTGTCTGTCCATTCTAGGTTTTTTGTTTGTTTGTTCGTTTGTTTTGAGGGGTTTCTGGAGTGATCCTAATGGTCATTGCGAGAGAAGGTGGGGACCCAGAGCCAGAGCTAGGCGAGGACGTGGCCACTCATTCTTAACCAAGACCTTTTGTTCTTAGATTCTCGCCGTGATGGGAATACAGCCTTCCAAGGACTGAAGCTAGGATCCAACAGTATCCCAAACTCTCTGCTAACATCTTAGTACCTTAGTGATTACTGGTGAGAAAGCAGGTGCCAATGTCGGGGGCTGAGTGTGGGTCACAAAACCGAGACCAGGAGCTAGGAGTTCTCCTGCCAGCCAGCACTGTCTGCCTTTAGGACGAAGGGACCACGGTCAGTGGGATAAATGCCAACACTCTTTTCTTGGGGCCTATTGCAGCTGAGCAGTATCACTCAACAGAGGAGTATGCCATCCTGCGAGCAGTCAACTCACGCCCATCAGCTCCTCATTAGTTCTGGCTCAACGGTGCTTCCTGTAGGACAGTGGAATTAGCCAATAAGGAAACAAAGGTGGGTTTGTTCGCCACCTACCTGGAGTCTCCTGGCGTCTGACCTTCAGGGCCTGGACAGACCAGCTGCCCTCATCATTCCCAGCACAGCACAGCTCCGAAAGTCACTAGTTTTCCTGCCTTGGGTGCGGTCACCCATCACTACCCTGGGTATGGTAGGCCACTTTCAAGAATCCCATTCCTGTATCATCATCAAATCTGGGACAGAGAGCCTGTCGGTGACCTTGTCTTGCCTCAGTTCCCCCACAGTGGTCACTTGCAGTTCAGGATGAACCCCAGGCTTGCTGGGCACTTCGATTAACACTGACAACCACAAGAACACCCACTCAGAGCTTACGTTAACTCTGTTCTGTGGATGGGGGACACTATTACTCATAGGCCCTGGTTGTCGTCAAGGTCTACCCCTGTTAGCTGGGGCACATCCACTGTGGAATTCTCCAGTGTTATGGAGCAGACTTTATCCAAGGAGCTGAGTCCAGGGCTGCCAAATGGGCACAGGGTTCATGGCACATGAGAGGAATGGGGCCAGGAGGTGGACAAGGCAGCACCCCACCCTCTAGGGCAGAACAGGAGGTCAGGCCTCAGCCCAGGAAGATGACCAAGGGTTGAAAACACAGTTTTAAAGTATATAGCAACTTCCCAGTTTTATTTGCGATATATGAGAAATTTGACTGTTAGTACCATTGAACGCAAACTTCTGTGTTTCTACCCACGTTCAGCATGGCTTTGATAATCCTGAGCACTTTTTTTTGGTATTTTAAAAATTATTATATTCCGTGATTATAGTTTTGTAGGTATATGGATTCCCCTCCCTGCCATCTCCCCTCCCTTCTTCCTTGTTTTCTCCATTTCCCCATTATCACAGTAGAATAGGTCTTCAGAAATAGTCTCAAGTTCAAAATTCTGCTATTTAACTGTATCTTGCCATTGTAGGTTAGGTAATGCTAGAAAACCTAGTATCAAATTGTCAAGGTATATTTAACTGTTTCACTGCTTTTATTCAGGAACACAGATGCTTATCACTCCTGGGAATGCTAGTCACCGTCACGCAGTTAATGTATGAGAACACGGATGAACATGCAATTCACCTGTGTGTCTATTTTGTATTCTCATGAAGATTGCCTTATACCAGAGAGAACGTGTGATATTCGTCCTCTTGGAATCCTGGGCTTAAATTTTCTATTTACTTATTTTTAAATTTTTATTTTTCATGATACAGTTCCTTAGACTCAGGAATTTCCTCTCCCCTTTTGTCGCCCCTATATGTGACAGTAGTATAGTCCTCCAACATGTCACAAGTGCACCATTCTTCCGTTTAAGCATATGACGACATTGTGTGTAAGTGTAGACAATGGTATAAAGTCCTGCATCCTGTTGTCAAGATATATTCAAGTCTCACTGGGAGTCCATCTTTTGTTCAGAAGTGGAGATGCATACGGCAGTGTGTCTTCACTTCATGGCATACTTGGCTCCATTGTACAGTTGTGGGATCCATACAGAACAAAGTTTCTCTGCATTTAGTTAACTAAGGGCAGGAGGCAGGAAGGAGCTGCCAGAGCCCAGAGTTTTCCTGTAGTTAATTAACCTAACCCAGCACAGTAGGCGGCAGGAGGGGCCCGGCTGTATGAAGCCTCTGGAGCCATCTTTGTTGTCAATTAACTCAAATGCTGCAGGAGGGGCAGGCATGGAAACGGACTGTTCGGGCTGTCAGTTACCCCAACAAGCAGGTGTTAGCCATCGAGCAGCTGCACCCCATCACAATTTCCTTAAGGACAGGAATCTAACATTCATATCATTCACATGATGCCTAAATTCTTAACTCCTTCCTTTCTCTTCCTCATCTCCCACCCAACAAATCTTTGGGGTCTGCAATACCTTAAATGTGTTGCTGGGTCCACCATTCACTGCCAGGAATCTGTGACCCTGGGATCATCCTCAAGTTCATGATTCCAGGCTGGCATTGTGGTGTAGCATGTAAAGTTGCTGCCTGTAACACTGTCATCCCATAAAGTTGCAGGTTCATGTCCCAGTTGTTCCACTTCCTGATCCAGCTCCCTGCAAATGACCTGGGACAGCAAGGGAAACGGCCCAAGTATTTGGGTTCCTATCACCTGCAAGGGAGACCCCAGTGAAGCGCCTGGCGTGTCTGTATTGGCCTGGCCCAGCTCGGGCTGCTATGGCTATCCGGAAATTATCCGGCAGAGGGAAGATTCACTCTCTTTCAAACAAAATTAAAGTCTGAAAAAAAAAAAGGTCATGGTTCCCAGGGGCTGATGAACAAATGCAGGAGGTAATTGCTCTCCTTTCTGCTGCAGATTTCTCTCCTAGGCAGTTGGCTTCATCTGATCCTGTCACTCAAAATCTGCTTCAGAAAGTCTGCAGAACAAAAGCCCCAGTGGGCGGCAGGAGGCACTCTCCACCCCCACAGCAGCCCTGAAAGCAGCACCAAGGAGATGAGCTTGTCGGAAACTTTTGTTTCTCCTGCTTCGCTTTAATTCCCTTCTGCCACAGAGAGTTCAGGTGGGCTGGTCCTCACTCCCACTGCCCAGCCCAGCCCAGCCCAGCCCAGCCCACCAAGCAAAAGGGAAAAGTCTCTTCCTAAACCAGGTCCTCTTTAGGTGCATGGAGGTTTAGAAAACTGTCTCCTGGTGCTGCAAAAATCTAGCCCCGTTCGAAAATTCTTGTTCTCTGCTCCAGACACCTGCATCTTATTCTTCTCGTTTGGGGATGTGACCTGAATACCTGAGATGATTTAGCAGGGATGGGTTGTAACTGAGAAACACGGGGTATGCCATCGCAGTATCTTGGAAGCAAAAGCCGAGATGACAATTTGCCTTCCTTCACAACTGAATTCAAGCACCTCATTTGAAGTCTAGGAGCCCATCTGGGAATTTAGAAAATGGAAATCGTGACACAAGCTTGAAATTCATTACGCTCCCTCCCTCATTCCTTGTCTGCCCTCTGTGGATGGAACCAGAATGGGGAAAGGTTTCCACGGACTGTTTCCAGGCCCAGATTTGGCTGGGGGCGGGATGGGGAAGGGTGGTGTGGTGTAAGGGACAGGGGAAGAAGCACTCAGGAGCTCCGGGACACAGCTGGGTCAGCCCCTTGTGGCCCTATGTATGGAGGTGGGGATGTTTCCAAGATGGCTTTGTTCTCAGGGGTCCAACTTTTCCTCCTCGGAGCCTGAGACTAATTTTAACTCAAATTTCAGTGATCCCGCAGGACAGCTGTTTGATGGAGATATGTAGGCCAGTCTGTGGTTTTCGGGAGTCATCGTTGGAAACTTAGGGAGTGGGATGGGGAAGAGGACTAGAACAGCTGAATTTTCTGGAAATTTTCTCAGCCCGCAGAGATTTAAAGCTACAGGCTGCAACATAAATTGACTCCACGGCTCCCCTGGAGCGTTACCTGGACAAGGCTGGGTAGGGGGCTGTTTCTCTGAGCGTAATAGTGAGGCCATCCGTGTCTATCCCCTCTCCTTCCAGATTGCTTGTTCACACACGACGATGGGGATAAGGCTGGCAACGCGGAAGCTGCCAGAGCCAGGTGCCTCGCACACAGTGCTGCTGGGCGTAAGTTTGGGGTTACCATTTCCTGTAGGCTCTTGCCTCTTAGCGAAAAAGTGCTTTAAGCAGAGACCGCCAATACAGATCTACAGTGACAAGGTTTATCTAAAAGATGAGGAATCTACCAACACATATGGGCTTTGTTCAGGGACAGAGTGGGCCGAGGAGGGAACGATGGGAGAGAAATCTACCTCCAGACTGCTATGTCCACAGAGAGAGAGAGAGAGAGAGAGAATGCTTCCTCCCTTGTGTGCTTCTTAGGTGCTTGGATTGAAAAGGGAGTGGTGACACACCACTCCTAGGTCCCAGGTAAGGGGAAGTACTTGCTCAGGAAGGGGTTGTTTGACTGACTGATAGGGAGAGAGGTTTATGTATGATGCAGTAGGGTGTGACTTTCAACTCTTGAGGTTAAACTAGCTAACTACTTACCCTACATCATAACTGGCACGGAAAGCTGGGCAGTTTCCCTGGGAAGTGCTTCAGCCGGGTCTGTGGAAGTTAAACATGGACTCAACTTTGGATCCAGGCTTCTCACATTTATTGCTCTCCCTTTTTTTTCCATTTTGACATCACTCTTCACTGTGCTAAAACACAGGCAGGATGAACATCACCACCTGCGCTGTTTTGCTTGGATGCTTGGTGCTGTTGAGTATGTTCACGACATTGTGCCGCAGTTTCTTAACTCCCCCGACAGAGACTTGGTACCCACCTAACACCAGTTCTCCGTATCCCTGACAATCCCCTTCTCCTTGGTGCCTCCAGGAACTTGATACTCGGGTAGTACCAGGTTCAGGTGGAAGTACACCATATTTGTTATTTTGTGATTAATTTTTCTGTCTACTGATGCAACTTAGCAAGTTTCTCCAGCTGCGGAGGCAGATCCGAGAGCGGAGAACTCAGCCTGGGTTTCTCACGTGAGTGGCAGAGACCTAACCGCCCGGGTCATCATGTGCCACTCTGAGCATGCGTTAACAGGAGGTGCAGCCGGGACCTGAACCCAGGCAGTAGAGACTCTGTGGTTCAAGCCCCCCAGAACCCCCTTTTAAATTGTGTATACCTCATGAAGTTCATGTTATTATTGTTACGAAGTTTCTATAGAAGGCAGAGTTGGATTTTTTAAAAAAAAATAATTTGGATTGCATTTATAGATGCAACACAATAAAGGTATGTTTAGAAATCAAACAAACATTCCTATTGGAGAAGTGAGTAGAAGAAAATACATCATGTTGCCCTGGAAGTGGTTCATGAATAAACCACACTCGTATTACAATGAGACCCTCAGGCTTCTGCAAAGCAACAGTGTGGGGTAATGTCAGATGACCCGTGGTGATGATAACCTAGTAGGAAGGGATGCTTGTTTAGACACCCCAGGAGCCACCTTCTTCCCCTGCCCTGGTCTGGCTGGGTCCTGGGCTTCTCATCTATCAGAGTCAAATCCAGATGCTGCTCAGAAGTCAAAGGGAACCTCAGCCTCCAAGGTTTTCCATCATTTTCCCCTTGAACTTCCTCACCTGATCCTTTGACATTCTGTTTAGCAAGCCTGGCTCTATACCTCCTGTCTTATCTCCCCAAAATGTCCTTGCCCTTGAGCCTTGCTCTTCCTGCTCTCTTGGTGGACTTAATTGTTTTTATAGAAAAGAAGATTTTTTTTTTTTTTATTTGAAAGGGCAGAGTTACAGAGAGAGGAAGAGACGGAAAGAGAAAGAAGAATTTTCCATCTTCTGGTTCACTTCCTCACATGACTGCAATGGCCAGAATTGGGTTGGTTCAAATCCAGGAGCCAGAAACTTCCTCTGGGTTTCCCGCATGGGTTCAGGGGCCCAAAGGTTGTATCATCTGCTGCTTTCCTATGCCATGAATAGGAAGCTGGATAGGAAGTACCCTTGAACCAGTCAAGCGTAGGCGTGACTGCTGCAGGGTTGTCCACGCCAGCAATGTTTCAGGCTCATCTTCTTCCCTGTATTTAGAATGCCAGTGCTGGTTGTCTTCTCTCTTGAAAGTACCTGTTGGGCAGAGGACTTCCAGAAGCCAAGGGGCTCTTGGCTGAGCGCTCTCCTGCTTGGCAGAAAATGGCTTTGCTCAGCTGGATTCTAAGCTCTCTGCCAGGTTTGCCAATGGCATGGTTCTGGCATGGTTGCTTGGCAGTAGGGTTCCAGGACAACATGCTGCTGAAATGACAGAAGGTTCCCACCCACATCCCACCCTGGGCTCTTTGAGGTGCTCTTGTCGGCCCTAGGGGGATGAGCACAGCCACAATGTCAGTGTCAGCCACGATGGCCAGCACAATGAGAGGCTCAGACTTCAGGCACGCTGTCTGTGCTCACAGCTTTATGCTTTAATCACAGAAAGCAGTCACCGTAGTTAAAATTAGCTGGGTTATTTATTATCACCTTGATTGTTCTGGCCTATCAGAATGCAAATTCCTTGGCAATTATAAGGTTATCTATTGTAGCTGGTGTGGGGCAGAGGTGTTAAGCTGCCACTTGAAACACTGTTGGTTCAAGTCTTGGCTGTTCTGCTTCTAATCCAGCTTCTTGCTAATGTGCCTGGGAGAGCAATAAATTGATGGCTCAAGTATGGGGGCTCCAGCAACCATGTGTAAGACCCAGGAGGAGTTCTTAGCTCCTGTTCTCTGCTTGGCTCAGCTGTTGAGGCCATTTTGGATGCCAACCAGTGGTTGGAAGAGCTTTCTCTCCGTCTCCCCCTCTCTCTGTGTTGTATTTCCCTTCAAGTAAATAAAATGATGCTTTTTTTTTTTAAAGAAAAAAAAAGAATTTTATTTACTTTATTCCTCTCTATGTTCTTCACACCCAATAACAGGGTTAACCATAGGATCACATTTTTTTAAGATTTATTTTTATTTGAAAGGCAGATTTTACAGCAAGAAGAGAAAAAGAGCTCTTCAATCTGCTGGTTCACTCACCAAAGGGCTGCAGTGGCCAGAGCTGAGCTGATCCAAAGCTAGGAACCAGGAGCTTCTTCCTGGTCTCCCATGTGCATGCAGGGTGCTAAGGACTTGGGCCATCCCCTAGTGCTTTCCCAGTCCATAAACATGGAAATGGATTGGAAGTGGGGGCACATGGGACACAAACTGGTTCCCATATGGCATATGAGATGCTGGCATTACAGATGCAAGATTAGCCTGTTACGGCCCAGCACGGTAGTCTAGTGGCTAAATTCCTCTACTTGCACGCTCCAGGATCCCATAAGGGCACTGGTTCTACTCCTGGCAACCCTGCTTATAGCCTGGGAAAGCAGTGGAAGATGGCCAAAGCTTTGGGACCCTGCACTTGTGTGGGAGACCTGGAAGAGGTTCCTGGCTCCTGGCTTCAGATTGGCTCAGCTCCAGCCATTATGGCAGTGGACGGAAGATCTTACTCTGTCTCTTCTTCTCTATGTATATCTGACTTTCCAGATTCATTTATTTTTAATTGGAAATGCAGATTTCCGGTGAGAAGGAGAGACAAGTATGTTTCACATGCTGGTTCACTCCTCAAGTGGCTGCAAGGATCCTCTGATCTTAACATTTCTACATAGTTCCTAAACAAGTTGGCACAGAGAATTGAGGGCCCAGAATCATCATGCTGGACTCCAAGCCCACTGCACTGTACCCCCATGCTGCACTCACCCCCATGGCTATCCCGGGTGTGCTGCACAAAGTGTGTCTTAGTGTCAACCAAGCACACCTTGGAATCACACTTCACATGTCTTCGAGGGAGGCCATTTTTCAATCAATCTGTGGACGTGAACATGCCTGTCACTCAAACTGGTCTTGGAAAAGAAGGACGAGAGGGACCTCTTTTCTTTTGACCTCCAAGGGACTTCAGCTTTTATCACGGGCTCTGCTTGTCTGACAGGCTGTGGTGTGATCTGCTTGGCTGTTATTGCAAGCACAAGCTGATTTTCAGCTGTCCCGAGAGCCCCAGCCCAGTGCTGTTTGTAACCAGAAAACCTGAAAAGCTGATTGTCATCGAAGATGTTCTTCGATTGTCTCCCCATCCAAGGCCCAGGAATGACGACTACGGACTACCCATTGTAGCCCTAGTGCCCTATGCTGCACAATGGCCCTGGCCTTGCTTCAAGCAGAAAGCAAGTGGCTCAAAATCCTTAGTTCATAATGCTTCATGCCTGGTTACCCCTCAGGCTCACTGAGCTTTTTGCTTTCAAACCAAACCTTTTCCCTGTCAGTCTCACCAGGTCTTCCTTTTTCTCTGCTTTGACATGCACACCCCGATTCTCTGTAATGAGCATCTCAGCGCAGAACCCTCCAAACATTTGATTATAGCTTGGCCTCCCCCAGGGGGTAGCATTTGGTGGTGGTGCAGTGGGGAGCTTGAGTACAGAGCACGTGGGTCTGGTAGAACCTGCGGGGAGCAGGCATTTGTCAACTGCCTTGTTTGGTTGTTGTCATGGCAACTGTTTTATGAGCCATCACAGAAAGTCCCCAGAGCATTGCTGTGTCACTTTTAGAAGATGACTTTTTTTTTTTTTAGATTAATTATCTGACCCTTCTTTGCCACGTGGTGAGAAAGAACAGCTGAGTCGGATTGCCTGGGAGGTGAACAAAGCCTGATTTCTTTATCTGGTCCTTCTTTGCAAAATGACCACACACCAGGTGGCGAGGGATAGCAGTTATTTCTCAAGGTTTGGGAGGCTGGGAGGTCTGAGATCAAGATGCCATCTGATTTGTGACTTGATGTAGAGCAACGTCCTGGCTCAGACCAGCCCAGTGATGGCATGGTGGAAGGGCTGAGAGACTCCCTGGGGCCTCTGTCTCTCTCTTTTTTAAAAAGAATTTTACAGAAAGAAGAAAACATATAGAAAGAGATCTTCCTTTTGTTGGTTCACTCCCCAGATGGCTGCAATGGCTGGAACTTAACCTAGCTGAAGTCAAGTGCCAGAAACTTCTTTCCTGTCTCTAATGAGTGGGCAGGCGCCCGTGGGTCTTCCTCTACTGTTTTCCCAGACAATTAGCAGGGAGATGGTCAGAAATGGAGCAGCCAGGA